CGGACGTTTAACGGGCTGAGCCACCCAGGCACGCCCAGACTAGCCACATTTTAAGTGCTCTATAGCTCCATCTGGCTAGACAGCACAGGTCTAAGGAACGTGACTTGCTGCCTCCTCCCACTCTACCTCCCACTCCAGTCAGATGCAGGAATTTGGGGGGTGGGCCAGAAGTTCAGAGGCCTTGTTGTCATGCCAATGTTGAGTCCACTAGAAAAAACAAAGGTTGCTCTTCTTCTGAACCATCCTCATCTCTTCCAATACATCCCTTCTTTCCCCTTCTGAAATCAAGGGCTAGTGCTCTCAGAGAATGTGGCCCATGTTATAGCATTTTATTTCATGTTGCCTTACACTCACCTGTTCTGTTTCAGACTCCCCACCTGGCTCACAAAGGCCTCAAGGACATTTGTCCCACTTCTACTCATCTCTTTTTGCAGCAAGTTTAAGCACCTCGTCATCCGTACACGTTTGTTGGATAAATGAATGAATCCTTACAGGACGGATAAACATGTATTATGGAAGCCTTTGTTTTATCTGACACCCCTAGGTCCATACAGCCTGTTTCCTCATCAACAGTGAAGCCAATCAGGGCACTGCACTGCTGATCCCAGCCTGGGAACTGGGGGAAATACTTGCCTTTGTCTTTGGAGGTCTCATGCTCGTGGACTCAGTTCAGCAAATAGTTCCTGAACAACTCCCATGCCCCAGGCATCGTGCTGGGTACTATGGGAGCTGCACAGATGAGTAAGAAATATCCTTGCCCTCCAGTCCCTAACTAGTACGGGGCCTTTGATAGGTATACACAAATAATTATAATTTTAGGTTGAGTGACCTCAGTGCTGTGAGTGGAATAAAGAGGCCTGGTAGGAGAGGGGCAAGAAGAGGGACTCGCAAAAGAGGCTCTGTTCAGACTCATCCTTGAGATGATGCTTGCGGTTAAGACAGGATTTGGACAAGTGGGAATGGAAGGAGGAAACAAACAGCTTTTAAAAATCTGACAAACGAGGAAGAAACACAATACAGAGGTGTGGTGAAGAGACTCATTAGGACAAGGAAATGAAACGGACTCCAAAGATAAGAGGAGGGTGGAAGAAATCCCAACAGGGTGGCGGAGGAGCAAATCCCATGGGAGGGGACTCCAGAGCTGGTAAGCACCCTAGTTGAAGAAGACAATGCCAGGAAGAAGGGCTTGTGAATTCCCAGTGAAGCTGAGAATTCCAAAGGGAAGTGAGAGAGGTCTGTGTCACACACTCATGGTGACAGAGGCAGGGACTGGAGGAATGAAGAGCCCTCTGATCAAGGAAAGTAGACTCTCCTGAAGAATGTTAAACAACCAGATTGGAGTGGAGCCCCAGAGGGACAGGGAAAGGACAAGAAGAGACCAGATAAGTTGGAAAGAACTTTATGTGACACAGGAGACGTGGGCAATATTCTGTCTAGTCAGGACTGCATGCCCTGGAGATCACAGGAGTGGTCAGCACAGGAAATCAAAGCCTAGCCTGGGAAACCAGATCCCGGTGGGGGGTTGGAAGGAGAGAGGAAACAGCAATTGACTAGGTTGTAGTGTAAATTACAAGTCGCCAAAGCCTTTCCCAATCACGGAGGTCGGGATTCATGCCTGGAGGTGTGTAGGTAGTTCCGTACACATACAAAAGTTGCACCAACAGCAGCGGGAAAAATTCCAAGACTGGCTTTGGAGCAGGTGTACAAAAGGAAAACAGAGAGAATCTGATTTAAGGAGAAGACTAATTTACTTTCCATTTAATTTTTAAATTTCAGATGCATCTATTGCCTCTAAGCACTTTTATTTCAGAAAAAAGACAGACCAGACCATGCTCTACCTTTCAGAGCATGCATACAAGGGTGCCTGAGGAACACACATTTTTGTACTCAGTGACACACACCCAAAACTGTAAAGGAGACTAATAATGGCTAGTATACATTGAGCATGTGGCAACTGCTAGGCCATGTGGATTATCTCATTTAATCTTCACAATATTACCTATGACAGGGGCGCCTGGGTGGTGCAGTGAATTAGTGAATGAGATACAACTTCACACCCACTAGGATGGGTATATTAAAAAAAACAAAACAGATAAGTACAAGTGTTGGTGAGGATGTGGACAAATTGGAACCCTCATACATTGCTGGTGGATAAATGATGCAGCCACTTTGGAAAACAGTTTGGCAGTCTTCAAAATGTTGAACATAGTTACCATGCGATCCAGCAAGTCCATTTTTATATACCAAAGAGAAACAGAAACATACATTCACACAAAAACTTGTACAGGAAATGTTCATAGCACCATTATTCACAATAGCCAAAAAGTAGAAACAACTTAAGTGCCCATCAATTGATTAATAAATAAATAAAATGTAGTATCATCCAAACAATGGAATATTACTTGGCAATAAAAAGAAATGAAGTACTGATACATGATATAACGTGGATGAGCTCTGAATATGTTATGCTAAGTGAAAGAAGCCTGTCACCAAAGAGAATGTTATATGATTCCATACATATAAAATGTACAGAATGGGCAAATCTATGGAGACAGAAAGTAGATGAGTAGTTGCCTAGGGCTGGGGAGTGGGGGTAAGGGGGCATGGGCAGTGACTACTAGTGGGTAAGGGGTTTCTTTTTGGGGTGGTGAAAATGTTCTAAATCAGGTTGTGGTGGTAGTTGCACAATTCTGTTGTGATACTAAAAACCATTGAATTGTACCTATTAAATGGGTGAATTGTATGGTATGTGATTATATCTTAATAAAGCTGTTAAAAAGAAAAAAATGGCTATTCCATTAAACTGATGCAATATGATTTAAAGTGGGCACCTGGGTGACTCAGACGGTAATGCATCTGCCTTTGGCACAGGTCATGATCCCAGGGTCCTGGGATTGAGCATCTCGTTGGGCTCCCTGCTCTGCAAGGAGTCTGCTTCTTCCTCTCTGTCTGCCCCTCCCCTTGCTTGTGCTATCTCTTGCACTCTCTCTCATGAATAAATAAAATCTTTTATAAATAAATAAATATGATTTAAGGTGCCATTCTGATTCATTCATTATTAAACAGATTATTTTTAGTTTTTCACATTGCTTAGTGTAACCAAATACTCCATTTGAAAGAACAGTTTTTTACTAAAACTACTATAAATCATTATAATAGATATGTGATGTCCCTATGGTCACCTACATATTTTCAACATCACAAATCTGTCAATACTTTACAGGTGTAAAGAACTAGTATCTTCCACACAGTTCTCTCCCATACAATAAGTTCGGTGGCCTGTCCTTAAGCCTCACTTAAGATTACTTTAGCAGTAAGAGACATGAAAATATAGTGCCTTAAACAAAACAGAAGTTTATTTCACTGTCACATAAAAGTCTAGAGGTAGGCAACCCAGGGCTGAGATGGCAGATCTCTCTCCAGTGACCACAGGATCCCAGGCTCCTGCTATAGGCCCCAGGCTCAGTCTACTGCTCTGTCAACCATAGGGTCTAGTTCTTGCCATTATGGTTCAAACGATAGCTATCACATCCAAGCAATAAGATGAAAGAAACAGAAAGAATAGGGGTGGAAGGAAAGGGGACAAAGTGTATGTGCCAAAGGTCTTTAAGAAAAGTTCCCAGATGCCCTTTCTGCTGTGCAATGATTGACCAAAACATTGGGACATAGCCATACTTAACTTCAAGTGAGACTGAGAATATGGTCTTTATCCCAGGTAGCATGTGTCCAGGTAGAAATTAGGGGTTCTGTCATCATGAAAGAAAGGGAAACACACATTCAGAAAAAACTAGCAGACTCTTCCAATAACTCATAATTTATTTAATGTCACAAAACCCTACCAAAAGCTAGAGAAAAAAAATCTGGTCACAAAGGATGAAAGAAATAAGATGAACTAAGAGCTATACACTAAATTAAGCAGTATGAGGAATGACTATGCCTAATAGTGAAAAGCATCAGAGGAGATATGTTTGCAAAAGGGTAGAGAAATAACCAAAAGTTCTAAAGTGGGGAGAGCATTTTTATAAGATGGGAGCCAGAGGCAATATCCGTCAGACATACTAGGCAAATAAAAAGAAGTGTTTTAAATGAGCAATAAGTAAAATCATACTTTCTTTCACTTCCCATTAAGACCATCAATTTTTAACAGAACACTTTATCTTTGCCTATTTTATTTGTTCATATGTTTCTAATTCCTGAAAGGCTTATGTAATCAACTGATTTTTTTGCTTCTGGTAGTATTTCAAGGATATGCATTGCACCTGGCCTTTTCTATACTCCTAAAGATATAATTACCTTTGTTTGGAAACCACTGTGGTTGTAGTTTTTTATTTACTATATTAACACTATCAAAAAAATACTTGAACATTTCCAAGAAATCTCAGTGTATACAACTTAATGTACATTTACTTAATCCTTTTAATAATTAATTTAAGATCCACAGACAGGCTTGGTTTCTATGTAAGAAACAATTTAATGTGACTGAGATAAAGTGTTCAGGAGAGATAATATTTAATATGTTTCAGGAAAAGGTCATTAACATTTAGTTTAGTTTTTTGTTTTTGTTTTTTTTTAGTTTAAAAATTCAGAAGAGTTTAATCACAAATACAAATATAAATAAGGAAAAGTTACCATAAGGGGAAAATAGAGCTTTCAAATGATGATGCTGAGATTACTATAATAATGTTGTATTATGAAATTTGAGTCATGGGAGAAAGGCCAGGGCCCAAGTATACCCAAATGATCCAAACACTTTTATTTACTTATTTTTTTTAAAAGATTTTATTTATTTATTTGACAGAGAGAGAGAGAGCGAGAGCAGGAACACAAGCAGGGGGAGTGGGAGAGGGAGAAGCAGGCTTCCCGCTGAGCGGGGAACCTGATGCAGGGCTTGATCTCAGGACCCTGGGATCATGACCTGAACCCAAGGCAGACACTTAACGACTGAGCCACCCAGACACCCCCGATCCAAACACTTTTAAAAAAGTGCATTTTCTTTAGATAATTCTACAGTTGGTATGCACTTCCTAGGAGAAAGTACAGTTTTAAAAAGATTTCACAAAAAATATATCATGTATATAAAGTAATAAATCCACCAGATTCTATATAGCATGACCATATGAATAAAGATAAGTTACTGTCTTGAAATCATTATTTAAAAAATAAGCCAAGCATGTTGGCTGATTTCTGGTCCCCTTTGCAGATCTGCCATCAATTATATCTGAAACAGGCTAAAGGATATACCATGTGAGACAGTGGGGAGAAACTGACTTGGAAAATCAAGACAGTCATGTTCTAGTCCTTATTTGGACCCCGGTTAGTCACCCTAGGCAAAACAGCCTTTGAAGGCCTTCACTTCCTCATTGTTTTCTAAGGGTCTTTCCAGCACTGTAATTCTAAGTTGACTTGAGGGCTCATTTCGGATGAAATAGCATTGTTTACATTAAATCACTTCTGGTACTTGTTATCAGGAACTGTCCACACATGAAGTCTGAATCATTAAAATGTTTTACTCCATATTTTTCCAGCCAGAAACAGTAATTTACTCAACAATAACATTCTAATTTTTAAAAATCAAAATAAGACGACCAGAATCATTAAACTCAGTATTCACAGCATTGAACCTAGAAAAAAATGTATAATTAATAGACTGTTAAAGCCAAAAGAGCATATGACAGAGAGAGAGAGAGTCTGAGACTTCTTATGAAGTGTTTCAATGACAATTATTACTCCATAACAACTGGGTACTCAGGATCTGTGGACATAACATTACAAGCTGGGGGGAAAAATCCAGCCCAAATGTCAAATCATGGAGCCAGAATGATTCTGAATTTCCTAAAGACACATTCTGAGAAAGAAACAGAATTCTCCCCCATTTCCCCATCCCCCTGTCCCAAAGGGGAGAATGTAAAATTATGCACATCTTTGGTAATATTTTAGAAAAAATAAACGCCTAGATATAAAGACAATTAAACTTAACATTTTCTCTTCAATTTGTTTTTTATAGCAGACATGTTAATTTCATTTTGAACATGGTATGCCAAATATCCTGAGCTTCCAGGAATAAAGTCATGTAGCTCCCCAAGGAATTTCTTCATGGCATCAATTGATATATAACCTACAAAATAAAATATATATATATATATTTGAAATCCTATCATACTGTTTTTCAATATCTTTGATTTATTAGAGTTACGATTTCTTTGTTTTTTTTTCTTAAGATTTTATTTCTCTATTTGACAGAGAGAGACACAGTGAGAGAAGGAACACAAGCAGGGGGAGCGGGAGAGGGAGAAGCAGGCTTCCTGCAGAGCAGGGAGCCTGATGCGGGGCTTGATCCCAGGACCCTGGGATCATGACCTGAGCTGAAGGCAGACACTTAACGCCTGAGCCACCCAGGCGCCGCTAAAGTTATGATTTCTAAAGAATGTTTTTAGAAAGAGGTAAAAAGAAGAAATAATGCCAGGGAGAAGATTCTCCATGAAACTTGATAATTACCAGGGAATACCCCTCCTTCCCAATTCCCCACTCCCTGCAACATTCTACCTCTTATTTTATTTATTTATTTATTTTTAAAGATTTTATTTATTTATTTTAGAGAGAGAGAGTGTGCAAGCAGGGGAGGAGCAGAGGGAGAGGGAGACAGTCTCCAGCAGACTCCACGCTGAGCGCAGAGCCTGACTCGGGGCTCGATCCCAGGACCTGAGATCATGACCTGAGCTAAAACCAAGAATTGGACACTTAACCAACTGAACCACCCAGGAGCCCCTTCCAGCTCCTTTTAAAACACAAATATTTGATTATCCACTTTGACTACTGAGAGTGTAATGTCCAGGTTGGGGGTAAAACATGAAGTACCTAGACCAAAATAACTGGGAAGTGTGTCTGGCTTAGAGTATAATCACTTAGAACTAACTATCCAAGTAGCTACTGTAACAGCACAAACAGCTTATCTTCACTAGTAGAGCAGGGAACACTTTCCTGCACTGCTAACACTGAGATAACATTCTTTAATAAGAAATTAAGGGAAGGGGGGCCTGGGTGGCTCAGTCGTTAAGTGTCTGCCTTGGGCTCAGGTCATGATCCCAGGGTCCTGGGATCAAGTCCCGCATCAGGCTCCCTGCTCCCCAGGAAGCCTGCTTCTCCCTCTCCCACTCTCCCTACTTGTGTTTCCTCTCTCACTGTATCTCTCTCTGTCAAATAAATAAAATCTTAAAAAAAAAAACTGGGGGCGCCTGGGTGGCTTAGTCAGTTAAGCGACTGCCTTCGGCTCAGGTCATGATCCTGGAGTCCCGGGATCGAGTCCCGCATCGGGCTCCCTGCTCGGCGGGGAGTCTGCTTCTCCCTCTGACCCTCCCCCCTCTCATGTGCTCTCTCTCTCTCTCTCTCTCATTCTCAGTCTCTCAAAATAAATAAATAAATCTTTAAAAAAAAAACTGACACCTAATTTAATAGTCAATACTGTATGAGAAAAATTCTGGTAGAGCTCAAAGATGATTGATTTTAGAACACCACCACCATTAACATGTGGTACATATGCATATAGTTTGATTGCTTCTAATAATATGTGATAAATTGACGGTTAATAAATTAACTATGAATTTGCGAATATAAAACTGATTAGTGTCTTTAAAGATATTTTAATCATAATCATTTACTTTAGAAAATCTCTTGAAGCACTATGACTATACTCCATATGGTTCATGATCTTTGCCTAATGACTAGGTTTCTGTGTAAAATAAACTAGTACAGAAAAATATTAACATTTAATATTAATTAATGCACATTAATATGCAGTTAATTGCACATATACACTGTGTGAAGTTGCTAAAGATATGTGTGAGGATAGGAATTTTAAAAATAATTATTACATTAATAAAAATATTTCTATAAGAAGTATTGGACATTTATGCATCAGAAATGGATTATTCTAGCAGTTTTGAAGTAGTTAGGACTTTAGGCTGAAGTTGATTGACACTCAATTTAAACTAGCTTATAAGATCTTATTTATTTGACAGAGAGAGACACCCAAGCAGGGGGAGTGGGAGAGGGAGAAGCAGGCTTCCCGCTGAGCAGGGAGCCCGATGTAGGGCTCGATCCCAGGACCCTGGGATCATGACCTGAGCCAAAGGCAGATGCTTAACGACTGAGCCACCCAGGCACCCTCAATTTAAACTAGCTTAAATGAAAGGGGAGTCTACTAGAAAGACTGCTATATCAACCAAACTGCGGGGAAGGCAGACACTTCTGTGTGGGCCTCAGAAGTAACCAGAACTCATGTCTGTCTCTCACTGGTATCCAGTTTTTCCTGCATGTTAATTTCAATTTTTCTCTCTTGAGGCAAGTTGACTTTCTTTACATGGTAGGAAACATGGAACTACAATGGCTCCTAAGTTTTAGATCTTAAGAGCTATGGTCACCCAAATGAGAGTGATTTGACTGGCTGCATTCCATGTATAAAAATCTAGAGAAAGAGCTGTGACTGGCCCAACTCAAATCAGGTATTCATTCCCAAGGCAACAGTTGGGGGTGAGGAGAAAGCTCATATTTTAGAAAATGACTGTTTCTGTGTAAATCAGATGTACTGGGGGAAGAAAAGAGAGTTCCTAGGAAAGGTATTCTATATGTGTCTGTGGTAGCCAGCCTCCCAGATGGCTCTAAATGATCCCTATCTCTTGGTATTCACAAATTTGTGTAGTCTCTAGAAGGAGACTCTGTACTTGGGTTGGTCTATATGACCAACAGCACATGGCAGAAGTGATTATATGCCACTTCTAAGAGTAGAATATAAAAAAAGACAGTGGCTTCTGTCTTGGGTATGCTCTCTTTCCCCCCTGCATTCCTCTCTCTGAGGAAAGCAAGCTGCCATGTTGTGAAGAGCCTTATGGAGAGGCCCACTTGGGGAGGACTTTGGCCTTTGGCCAAAAATCAGCAAGGACCCGAGGCTTGCCATAACTACACGAGTGAGCTTTGAAATGGATTTTCCAATCCCATTTGTGCCTTGGAGTAACTGCAGCCTAGCTGGCAACTTAACTGCAACCTTATGAGAGACTTTGAGACAGAAGTATCTAATTAAGATGCTCCTGGATTCCTGGCCCTCAGAAACTATCAAGTAATAAATGTTGGCTTTAAGCTGCTAACTTTTAGAGCAATTTGCTACACAGTGATAGGTAACTAATACAGTATCCATTATAGGTTCCCAAACTTTTAGTTATCAGAACTTTTTGGTTTGAAAATTTTTACCTGCAAGATATTTACAATTAATTTTTTTAAAAGATCTTATCTATGAGAGAGAGAGAGAGAGCATGAGCATAAGCAGGGGGAGGCAGAGGGAGAAGTAGACTCCCCACTGAGCAGGGAGCCCAATGCGGGACTTGATCTCAGGACCCTGGGATCATGACCTGAGCTGAAGGCAGCCGCTTAACCAACTGAGCCACCCAGGTGCCCCTATAATTATTAATTTTTAAAAATTAGTCACACATGTAGCTATCAATCAGAACTTCTTATCATGGGTGATAACTAGTGATATCAGACTAAAATAATTCCAGCCAAAAGTAAAAAATAAACAAAAACAGACCCAGAAAATCCCTTGATATTTTGTGGGACATTTATGGGACATTTGGCACTATCTGAAGATATTTTTGGTTGTCACAACTTGGGGCCACGAGTTCTAGGGCATAGTTCCAACTTGTATTTTCTGCAAACTAAAATCTAATTAGTTCTATTTTTAAGAGACTTAACATTCACTGAACTGAACCCAACCCATTTTGAGGAAGAGACAGTCAAGTTACAGTCACAAAAATTGCTACCACTGTCTAAATTAGAACTGTCACTCACTATATTCCAACAAGAAGTTATTCTTTCCTGTACCAGCAGATGGGCATGATAAAAAAAAAGGGGGGGGAATACTTGTCATTTCACATCAAAATTAAAGCCAAAGAATCATCTCTAAAGATTGAATCTTTCTTCCAAGAAAGTGCTATTTAAAATTTTAAAAACATTTTAATATAGGGGCAGCACCTGGCTGGCTCAGTCAGAAGAGCATGTGACTCTTGATCTCAGGGTTGTGAGTTGGAGCCCAATGCTGGGTGTGGAGGTTACTTAAAATAAACAAACAAACAAACTTAAAAAAATAAAACAAGATTTTAGTGTAGAAATATAAGGAAAGAAAAGAATCAAGCAAATAAAAAGATTAGAAAATTTTACTATGGTTTATCAATAAAATTAATAAAAGATTATCACAGGTTGAAATCTTACTTTAAAAATTCTGACTAATGATTATTTTTATAGTTCTTTTTTAGTTTGCTTTTAATACAACACTGTCATGTCTTTTGAATAGTCAGGCAGCCATGAAACACAGTGGCATTGTTACATGTCCAAATCTAAGCATTTGTCTTTATTGTATGGCTGATTTTAATATTTATCATTGATTTTTAAAATATGTTATCAAACACTTCGTAAGTCCAAATGAACATGAGACATTTAGAATCTGGTGATAGAGTTGCCTGAAACAAAATCAATACCAGAATATGCCACAACTATGGTTTAAGGTGTACCTACATTTCATCTGAATGTTTAAGCCTAGGGATAAATCAGGGTAGCAATAGCTGCTCTCGGTATTAGAACAAGTACTTCTACTAGTTCATTGTCCTTTGCAGCCCACAATTGCTCCTAAGAACCCCAGAACTGACTTCTCTGTCAAAGCTGGGTAACAGTTTTCTTTGATGTCTCCAAGTCTCAGCCTCAAACGACACATTAAAAGGTCTTTTTTTTTTTTTAAGATTTTATTTATTTGTCAGAGAAAGAGAGAGAGCACAAGCAGGGGGGCAGCAGGCAGAGGGAGAAGCAGACTCCCCGCTGAGCAAGGAGCCCGATGCAGGACTCGATCCCAGGACCCTGGGATCATGACCTGAGCCAAAGGCAGACGCTTAAAGACTGAGCCACCCAGGTGTCCTTAAAAGTTCTTTTAAAGTGCTTTTCTAAAGGCTATTAACAGAAGAAAAAAAATAATGAAACAAATGGCTAGACCAAAAGGTAAGAAGGAATAGTACTAGGAGAGAAGACATCTAGGAATTTGTGGACTAGTTCCAAGAGTCTGATAAAGAGAATGTGATAAATATACAAATGGTTTTTCAAATGGAATTTCAAAAACTATACTTTTTAAGTTGCTATGTTTTAAACACAATTAAAAAAAAAACTCTATTTTTAAAATGATACATGACCCGGGTGACTGGGTGGCTCAGTCATTAAACGTCTGCCTTCGGCTCAGGTCATGATCTCAGGGTCCTGGGATGGAGCCCAGCATGGGGTTCCCTGCTCAGCAGGAAGCCTGCTTCTCCCTCTCCCACACCCTGTGCTTGTGTTTCTTCTCTCGCTTTCTCTCTCTCTGTCAAATAATAAATAAAATCTTTAAAAGAGAAATGATCAATGACCCTAACTAAATACTACTCAGATCAAAGTATCTAAAACATCGACCTCACTCACCACTATCCCAATCCCAATGGCCACTTTCACCTGATTCCCTTGGTTCCATCCTCTCATGTCAGCCTTAGAAAGCTGTCTTTCTTTATGTCAGGCACTAGAAAACCCAAATACGGAGTCCGTGGACACCTGTGAACCTCTTTAAATTATATGTAAAGTTGTATGTTATGTTTGTGTGTGTTTGTATGCTAGGGAAAGTGTCTATGTTTCATCAGATTCTCAAAGGAAACTATGATTAGAGTTGTCCATATAATTTATCTTCCAAACTGGGACACCTGAGAGTAAAAAACTGATGCCAGGACAACAGACATAAACTGGGACTGTTTTGTGTAAACAGGGATGTGTATTCATGCTACCAATAGACGAGCATTTTAACAAAATATGGGACTTATCTCTGGGTCAATTCCGCAGATTTATTTAATGCATTGTTGTACCTTTGTTGTAATGCATGTTGTACATATATTTAATGCTTTATTGTACAAAATATTCTTTTGTTTCTTTCCTACTTGGGTTTTCTCTAAATTTTATTTTATTTTAAATTACCTGTTACCATGTTGTTCACTGGATAATTCTGAAGAGGGAAGTACATCTGCTTTTCTGTAACTGGAGTCCTTATAAAATGCTTTTCTGTGCTATAAAATGAAACATACAGAAAGTCACATTTATATTTGTTTTTTCCTGAGAAATTATTCCAGGCAATATATATAGTAATCTATTTGCTCTAGAGCAGACTTCAATCTTATTGGGTGAAAATGTTATGTGTGGACTTCTTTTGTGCTTCTAAGTAATACAAGTTCCCATACAGATATTTTCGGTTTTCTTGGCCACTTCAAAAAACATATATTTTGTGTATGTAGGGGCATAAGTCTTTTTCTCAATATTATTAAAAGCAAAATAATTCAGTAATACTTTATAATTAAATGAAATATATATACATATGTAATCTTATGCCAAGGAAAGTATAGTGGGCTCTATTTTAAATAATCACAGCATTTTTTGTTATTCAGTGTTTAAATAATTGGAACTCTGTTAACTAGTATTTTAATGCTTTATATAAAAAATGAAATCTGGGAAAATCATGAGGTACACTAAGATTCTGAAGTGACTTCTGAGTTAAAAAGAAAAAAAGTTAAAGTATTCTGAGTGTGGTTGTGTAGTATAATTAATCATATTCTAACTTTTAAGAGCTTAGTAGTTTTCAACTAAAATATTCTATTTTCCAACTGTGCCAAATAACAATGTTTACTGTATTTAGACTACATATAACCAATAGATAATATAATTATATGAAAATAAAAACCTCAATAATTAAAAGTTGGGGTCATCCTTAATTTATTATTTTCCTTAAAAAATCTAAAATTACACTTAGCAATAGAAAAGCTTTATTTTCAATTTGTTTAAAAATTAGATTTCATCTTAACTCTTCTAAAAGAAACTACAGCTCAGTTAGGATAAGATCCTTCAAATAAAGCAAAATACTGTTCCCAGAAGAGTTAGGGACTCTAAAAGGATAACCATTATTATTATTTACTATGGCTTTAAAATTTCTGGCTGAGCAATGAAATGGGGAAGGGTAGAGAAAGAAATGGAAGAGATATTTAGTCTTTTTACTAGAAACAATCTTTCATATGAACAAATGATATGATTATGCACCCTGAAAAGCCAAGAGAATCACTGAAATATTTCTGGAATCTTAAAGAGTCCAAGTGGGTAGTTGTAAGACAAATATCCCCAAATCAATAACTTTCTTATATAATAGCAATAATAAAAAATAAATGGAAAAAATGATCCAACCCATAGCAGCAACAAAATTCATAAAAATCTAGAAATAACCATAACAAGAAATTTATGATTCTATATGCAGAAAAATAGGAAACTTTACTGAGATATAGAAAAGGAAAATAAAGAAAAACAAGAAACATTCTCCTGAATAGGAATACTGAAAATTATAAAGTCATCAATTCTCAAAATTTAACACAATTCTCAGTAGGGATTTTAGAGGTTAAGAAAAAAATAATTCTAAAGTTTACCTGAAGAGCAATATGTTAGAAGATCTAATAGGAGGCAGACCAAATTTATAATAGAATGGACAAAAAATACCTAGCAATCTTAAAAGACAAATAAGATTTATATGAAGAAAATATGAAAATGTTCCTTAAGGGCCATAAAAGAAAATTTGAACAAGTGGGAAAAAATACCATTTTCTCAGATAGAAAGATTCAATATCAGAGGTAGTCTCCCTAAGTTAATCTATACATTTTTTGTAATGTCACCAGAAATAACAACAGTAATTTTTAAAAAATATATGAACAAGGTGTCTCTAAAATTCAGATAGAAAAATAAACCAGAAAGAATAGCAAGAGTAAAGAGGAAAAACTAGCACTAGATATCAAATCGTATTATAAATAACTAAAACAGAGTGGTGCTGTTGCATGACAAATGTATGGAATATAAAAATATAAAATGCAGAAACAGACCCAAATACTTACAGGGATCTAACATCTGATAAAGGTGGCATTTTAAGACAGGGTGTGTGTGGGGGAGATAAATTATTTAATCAATAACCACAAGTAGTTAGCTATCTGGAGGAAAAAAAAGAAAGTGGATCCCCACCTCACATCTTACACCAAGATATATTCCAAATGTGTCACAGATTTAAACTGGAAAATAAGGAAATCATTAAGAAGAAACCATAGCAAAAAATAATAATGATAATAATCTTAAGAGTAGGAAGACTTCCCTAAGTACAACACAAAACCTGAAAGCCATTAAAGAAAATGTTAATAAGCACGAACGTATATACAGTAAAACATATTTGCATGACAAAATCCAACATTTTTTAAAGTCAAAAGACAATAGGCTAAGAATTAATTGTAACTTATTTCATAATGAAGTAATTCTCCTAAAACGTAAAGGGTTCTTATCAAAAAATAAAAGCAAAACTCAATCAATAGAAAAATGTGTGAAGGATATGAACAGTTCACAGAAAAGGAGATATAAGCAGTTCTCAAATATATGAAGACACTCAACCTCATTCATCAAAATAGCAATTCAAACAAAACTAGACTGAGATACCACTTTATACCTACCACATTAGCAAAGACCAAAATATATGATAGTACTCTGTGTTGGAGAAGGTATAGGGTTAATAAGATGACTAACCATCCCAGTTTATCCTAGACTGAGGGATTTCTCAGGACATGGGGCTTTTCAGTGTTAAAATCAGGACAGTTCTAAGCAAACCTGGATGTTTGGTTACCCTAGCTGGAAAAGGCACTTTTATACACAACCAGTAGGAGCATAAATTGGTTTAACCTGGATGGAGGGCAATTTGATAAGACCTATCAAGGATACAAATCTACATGCCTTTTGACCTCGTAAGAATTACCCTAGAGATACTCATACACACAAAATGACATTACATAATCATTCACTGAAGCACTGTTTTTAATAGCAAATTAGAAATTACCTAAAAATCCATTAAAATAAGCAACTAGTTAAATAAATTATGATAAATCCACATAGTAGAACACTATACAGAGCAAAAATGAAAAAGCTCTTTATGTAATACTATGGAATGATCTCTAAGGTAAATTACTGAGTGAAAAAAGGCAAGGGACTGAATAGGGCTTATAGTCTATCACTATTTGTAAGAAAAAGGAGAAATGAAAATACTTATATGAATTTGTTAGTATATGCACATATAAGAAATTATAATATTGGTTACTTCTGGGAGGGAAACTGGCTCACTAGGGACCAGTATTTTCATAGTATCCCCTTTTGTATAAGTTGGATTTTGATAATTAAAATTTGAAAATGGAAAAATATTATGTAGGCATGAAGAACTAAGGAAAAGATTTTTAAAAGGAGAGTAATGAGTTTGGGACTTGCCTTGTCAGGTATTAAAATACATAAATGAAGTTATATAACTTAAAAGAATATTGTATTGATATAGAAATAGATCCACAGATTAATGGAATAAAACAAATAGTTTAAAAAGAGATCTCCATATACTAAAAAAATATGACAAAGGGAAATTACACATCAGTTGGAAATAGATTTATTATTAAAAAAACCAGTGGAGACTTTTTATTTGCAAAACAAAATCAATTTAGATCTTTATCTATTACCATACACCAAAATAAATATCTGCAGAATTTAAAATTGATTTGATCTCTGAATGGGAAAGAACTTTTCTGATCATAAAAGCAACTAAAGAAATTACAAAGGAAAAGTGATCAATTTAATGATGCAAAAATTTAAAATTTGTATCTCTAAAAAAGTATAAACCAGACAACAAACTGAGGATATAATGTGACAAACTGGCAAAAGGATAATAAAGCTATTACATAAAGATGCCAGACAAGTTGATAAGAAAAACAATAAAGCCCCCAATAAAAAAGGGAGAAAGGATAAAAACAAACCACAGAAAAGAAATATAAAATGCTAATAAATTCAAAAAGGTTCAAAGCCATTAGTAATCAAGAAAAATGCACACGAAAACAAGATGTATTTGTATAAAACTAGCAAGAGGTGGTAGTTATCGCTAAACGGTGGGGTTGCTTATAATTTAAATTTTCTTTATTTTCTATTTTGACAAATTACATGCATTATGTTTATAATAGAATAATTAAATTCATGCAATTTTCAGAAGATTTGGGGGAACATATTGAGAAGTGGAAACAGCATAGTGATTAAGAGTTTGGATTCTGGATCAGCTAGACATAGCTTCAAATTCAGCTTCACTATACGAGTTAATGTTGGGTGACATTTAGCTCTCTAACTTGTTTCCTCAATTGTGAGATGGGGCTAATATTTATCTATTTTACAAGGTTATGAGAGTCAAATGAACTGATAAGCTCACAAGTGTCTTACATTTAGCAAGTGTTTAATAACTGGTTCATCACTTACTATTCAGCATCACTAGTAGAATGCCAACGAAGCAAATGCTTTCTGAGTAAGGGCAAAGTATTTTTTATCTATGTTCACACTGCACCCTCTGGTGGTTCCTTAAAGAAAAGGCTCTAGGTTAGATACCTTCCTAAGGTATCTATTCATATCCTTTGTCCATTGTTATTGTTATTGGATTGGACATATTTTCCCCAAATTTGGAAGCCCCCTTTGTATCTTAAACTAGTTTTTATCAGATGTTTTTTTAAGTGCATATTTTTCTTTTGACTTAGTTTATGGTGTTTTTATTGCCATGTACAAGTTTAAAATATTTTTGGTAGTCACACTTACCAATCTTTTCCTTGATGGCCTCCATGTTTTGCAGGGCAACAATTTCTTAAAGAACTTATGTATCTGATATCTTTCCTAGTCAAGTTAATCACTGGGAGTTACTTCTTATTTTCTATTTCCCAGCCTTCTCTTACAAGGTCGTTAGGATAATTATTCTTTCCTCTATTAATCCCTTAAGAATATCTTCATGGTCTTACCTCTTCTTATTTTTCTTCCTTTTTTTTAACCAGTTTTTTATCTCAAAAAATCATAACAAGTAAGTTCAAGTGCTATACATAGAGATCCCAAGACTTAAAATATGGATTCTCAAACTTAAGTGGTAGAATATCTGGAAGTCACAGGACCATGAAACAATAGTTTACTAAACTTAATTAAATGCACAACTTTGTGTAAACTAGATAACAACTAACTTCAAATTATAACAAACCAAATAGTAGGTACAAAAGATATAAGAAAAAAAACTATAGAAGAAAAACTTAAAATTGAAAAAACTATATAAAGTAAACCCATTAATTTTTATATGGAAGAGAGACAGCTACTATTTGGTCATTTTTATTTCAGCAGACCTTTGAATAGCCAGTACTCCTTATGAGTATTTGAAAACCATGGAACTGGAAAATATGGAATTAGGACTAGATAATAAGCCTGAAACAAAGCGGTCTCTCATAGATTGGCTCTAACACAATGGTAAGTCCATGATTGTCTGTCTTTTTAAATTTAATTTCTTAAACAAAGTAACCACATTACAAACAATTTGGAAAGGAGAGGGGGAAATCACTCAGAACTTCCAATCCTAATAAAATTACTGCTAATATTTCATATATCTTCTTATTTAAAAACTAATGTCACAGTAATCACAATATACATAAATTCTTGTTTCTTTTTTTTTTAATATTTTATTTATTTCTTTGACAGAGAGAGATATAGTGAGAGAGGGAACACAAGCAGGGGGAGCAGGAGAGGGAGAAGCAGGCTTCCCGTGAAGCAGGGAGCCCGATGTGGGGCTCGATCCCAGGACCCTGGGATCATGACCTGAGCCGAAGGCAGACGCCTAACGACTGAGCCACCCGGGTGCCCCTAAATTCTTGTTTCTTTTGTGCAAGGAGAGTCTAGCATAGTGGTTGGCTCTGGAATTAAACTGACCCAGTTCAAATCCAACTTCTCCCCACTTAATAATAAAAGTTTGTATGAATTTGGGCAAATTAATCTATCTAATCCTAGATCTCTTTTGCTGTAAAATGGCAATGGTGATAATGATAATATCAATGGTGTAAGAAGACTGTGAAAATTAAGTGAGATAAACACAGTAAGTGCTCAAAGATGCCTACATTGAATTGAATATCAATGCAGTGTATGAATTCAATACCTTTTGGATAATTCTTTTTCCCGATCTGTTGCTAGTTCATTGCTTTCCCTAAGGGCCTTTATTTCATTTGGTGTTACTTCATCATGCTGTGGATAGCAAAAGAAATCACATTTTTGAAAATCAGCACATCAATGATCCAATCAAAAGTTTTTTTAAAAGTAAAAAAGTAAATTGGCAATATATATCAAGAGTCATAAAAATATTTATACACTTAGATCCATTCAATCTAGTTTGGTGTCAAAAACAAAATTTTGCACACACACACACAATTATACGATTTGTTTTTAGGGCTATGTAATGAAAGCGATGTATTTTTAAAATATCAGCTGTGGTTGTATTAGATTGTAAAATTTTAACTAATTTTATTCTTTTCAATTTTTGAAATTTTCCCTGGCCATGTTACTTTTTAAAAGATAAGGAAACAAAAAACTTAAATTTAACTAAACTTTCTTAAAATCCTTGACTTGAAAATTCCTAGGCTTCCTGTGAGTTACAAATCAAAAACAGGAAGTAAGCTGAACAAATTACATTTCCCCTTCAAAATGAAAATGAAGTATTTAGCTATGGAGTTATGAAAGAACTAAATATATATTAAGCTTTTCAAAATGATTATTTGAAAGTGACTCAGATACTGATACCTGTCACATAATATAATTACTTAATATGCCATTAGGAAATTTCTATGTTTAGATTACAAATCCACCCCAAACAATACTAATGTTCCCCAAATTACTTACCAGATTTACCCTTGTTGTTGCCATTCAATGAAGTACTTTCTACTTATATATTCTATGGTTACATTATTATAATTGGCTAATATCAATCAATATTTTGAAAGAACTAACAAAATCATTTATCATAAGAATATATAATTTCTAGAATCAATCATCACTAGAGGCATAATCTACTAATTCTTTCATAGAAAAAATATTGGATTGGGTAGAACCTGAGAAAATTTGGTTCCGTTTTGCTATTGTCCAGTATGTGAACTAAAACAGGTTTTTAACTTCTCTTTACCTCGGTGTTCTCATTTCTAAATCTGAATGATTAAATTAATGGGCTTTAGGAGCTTTTTAGCTCTAAAGTTCTGCATACTCAATAATTATTGTCAAATAACAACCATTTGATCACCACTCACATCCCTGAAAATACTATGACCACCAAGGATTAGATATTTTGGTCCTTAGAACAACATAGCCAAAGACACTAAAATAACTATGATTTTCAGATAATCACAACTTGGGAAGAAAAAACAAATTAATGAAAGAATACAAAATGCTTAAGCTAATTGTTTGGCTTCAGACATATAAAGATTTTTCTACCTAAGTGTTTATTTTGAAAATTTTCAAACTCTGAAATGTTAGCGAATAATACAGTACTATATACCTTTCACCTAGATTCATAACATGTTAACATTTTTATCACTCTGTATGCCTTCTCTCATTTTTTATTTTTTGCTGGACCATTTGAAAAGGTTTGCAGATATTATGACATTTTACTCCTTAATCTTTAGCTTGCATTTTCTTTCAAAAGCATTCTTTTGTCTTTATAATACCACCATCACAATTAAGAAATTTAACATTAACTCAATATCACCTAGTAGTCCATATTTAAATTTTCCCATTTGTTCTCAAAATGTCTTTTTAACTTTTTATGTGAAAAATATCCAATCCCAGGGTCCTGGGATCGAGTCCCACATCGGCCTCCCTGCTAGGTGGGGAGCCTGCTTCTCCCTCGGCCTCTGCCTCTCTCTCTCTCTCTCTCGTGAATAAAAAAATAAATAAATAAATAAATAAATAAAAAATATCCAGAATCCAATCTGGACTGGATTGGTTGTTATGTCTTTTGATCTAGAACAGTATTCCTGCTTTTGTTTTGTTTTGTTTTTTTATGACATTGTTTTAAAGAGTCTAAGCCAGATAGTTGTTCTGTGATGTCTCACATTCTGAAATTGTCTGGGTGTTAATTAGGTTAAGCATTTTGAACAAGAACACTGTATAGATAACATTGTATGCTTTTTATTATATCACATCAAACTGAACATAATGAGAGGTTATTCCAATTTTGATGATGCTAAATTCTACCAGTTGGTTAAGGTGGCGTCTGCCCGATCTCTCGACTGTGAAGGCACATCACTTACCTTTGTAACCAGTAAGTAATCTGTGGGGTGATAATTTGAGAACATGGTTTTAATATCCATTAATGACCCTGCCTAAATCAATTATTTTATTGGGGGTGGTAGTTACTATTTTATAAGGAAAATTTCCCTTATCCCACCTTTCCTTTCCTTCCTTCCTTCTGTTCTTCTTGTCTTTCTTTATGCTTTTGGAGTATCACTATTGAATCATGGATTCTTTTAAATTTACTGTACTATAACTCATTACTGCCATTCTTCTTGATGCTCAAATTATCCTAAATTTGGCTACTGCATGAAGATTTTGAAGTAAGTTAAAAGCACTGACAAATTTGAAGCAGAATGGCAAAAGCTATAAAAGAGTCAATTTTCAGTATTGTACACATTTATTGAGGGGTATTATTCAAGACATTTAACAAATGACACAACATGGGAATTAGTACATCAGAATCTATGCTGGCAGTAAGAAACTGGTAAATACTGTATCTAATTAATGAAAGAAGCAAATTTTCAAGCTTTTTATATGAATAATTTTATTAATATGAAAATATCTCAAATTTATCAGTGTACTAGTGTGAAAACAATATCAGACTAGATAATGTTCAATAAAAGCATGCCCTTTAAATTCCATAACCTGGATCACTGGTGCTAAAATGTCATAAGTAAACATTTTTCAGATTACATTGCTTTCAAAATTTTTTGAAACTGTAGATTTTAACCAAGTACTTTAATTTATTCTTACCTTCTCTATCAGAAAATGTTGGTCTTGTTCCCAAATAAAACTACCAAGTTTTCTTCTTATTTCTGTGGTAAGAAAAGCAAATTTAAAACTATTTTTAAGTGATTTTGTAGAATTTTCTGAAGTTTACTTGAAGTCTGAATTTTCCAGGCCAGCATTATTCCACTTGCATCAAACTCACCTAAGATACTTGTTTAAAATGCAGATTCTTATTGAATCAGAAGATTGAGGAGGAGCTCAGGAATTTGCATTTCTAACAACCTCCCCAGATGATTCCAAAGCATTATGAGAATCATTGTTGTAAATTTTTTCCTGGAATTTATGCCTTCATTAGATATCTGTGTCTTTAGGCCAACCATTAATAAAGAAGACAATTGTCCAGTTAAAATAAAAGGTATAAATTTCCTTAATTTGTAGAGTAGAGGTCCTCAAGTAATCAATAATTTGGTAAAAGAAGAGTGAAAGAGAAACAGGTCTAGTGGGCATAGTAGTATAGGAATTCTAACAATGCTCAGCATGTCAAAGGACTATGTCATCATCCTTAAGGATCTCAAAAGCTTCCACAGTAGCCCACTTGAGGACAAAAAAGTAACATTCCTCTAGACCTATGTTGGCCAATATAGTAGCCACTGGACTAGCTATATATGGGCACCGTATTGAAATGTGGTTGGTCCAAAGTGAGATGTGCTGTGAGTGTAAAATAAACACTGGATTTCAAAGACTTAGCATCAAAATAAGAATGTAAATATCTCAATAATTTTTATATTGGTTATATATTGAAATGATAATATTTTGGATACATTAGGTTAAATAAGATATATTCTTAAAATTAATTTCACCTAGGGGCACCTGAGTGGCCCAGTTGGTTAAGCGTTTGACTCTTGATTTCGGCTCAGGTCATGATACCAGGGTCATGAGATCAAGTGGGGAGTCTACTTGAGATTCTTTCCCTCTCCCTCTGTCCCTCCCCTTGCTTGGGCTCTCTTTCTCTCTAAAAATAAATAAATCTTTAAAAAATTAATTTCACCTATTTTTATACATCAATTTCTTATTTATACTAGAAAATATAAAATTAGTATGTGGTTCACATTTGCATCTCACACTTCTAGACAATACTGGTCTAGGTGGATAATAATGTATACTTTTTATTCTTAAAAAAGAGCATGTTTTCATTTAAAACAGTCTTTTTAAATTTTACTTATTACTATTATTTTTTTTAAGATTTACTTATTTTAGAGAGGGAGAACATGTATGTGGTGTGTGTGGGGGGTGTGGAACAGAGGGAGAGAGAGTCTTAGAGAGACTCTGCACTGAATGTGGAGCCCCCAACGCAGGGCTTGATTTCACAACCCTGAGATCATGACCTGAGCTGAAACCAAGAGTCTGACACTTAACTGAATCACTCAGGCGCCCCATTATTTATTTTAGAGAGAGAGCACACGCACACATGTGCTCAAGAGAGATGGGGGGGATCTTTAAGCAGGCTCCAGGCCCAGCACAGAGGCTGACGTGGGGCTTGATCTCACAACCCCGGATCATGACCTGAGCCCAAATCAAAAGAGTAGGATGCTTAACCAACTGAGTCACCCAGGCGCCCCAATGTATAAAGAATAATACAAGGGGCGCCTGGGTGGCTCAGTTGGTTAAGCATCTGCCTTCAGCTCAGGTCATGATCCTGGAGTCCTGGGATCAAGCCCCGAGTTGGGCTCCCTGCTCACTGGGGAGCCTTTTTCTCCCTCTCCCTCTGCTGCTTCCCCTGTCTGTGCTCTCTCTCTGTCAAATAAATAAAATCTAAAAAAAAAAAAGAATAATATAAACATATGGGTTCATTATTATAACGAATCTTAAAATTTCATTATAATGAAGAGATTCAAAACTAGCAAACATTTATTAAATGTTCACATGTCACGCTACTTAATATATTATCTCATTTTATCCTCAAAACAATTTGTTAAAGTTCACAAAACTAGTAAATGTTGGATCCTAGCCAGTGAGCACTATGAGGGCAAGATCTGCTTTTTGTCTTATTCACCACTGAATCCTCAGCACCTGGGTTGAAACCTGACACATAGGAGTTTAGTGAATGTGTGAATGAGCAATAAACATACAAAGCTAGAATATACACCCAAAGCAATCTGATCCCAAGTCCATGATTTTCCACTTATATTAAATGATACAAAACACAAAAATCTCTTATTGAGAACAAAGATCAGTCAAGTTGGGAGACCTAGCTGGATTTGGCTAACAGAGATTAGGTAAATGATCTTTGCCAACCTTTTTGCAAGCATGCAGGAGGAAGAATGAAATGACCTAAAGCCACCGAGTTTTTTATTTCAGCGTTAGCTACTGCAGAGAGATAGTAGGCGTGAAAAACTGTAGCATTATCTTCTATGTAATCACGGCTCTGATATATTCTAGGAGAAAGAAAGGAAATATTTTAGGTTATGAAATAAAGAAGAATGTATTCAACCTTTCAAAAGAAAGAATAAGTGAAAGAATAAGTGAGCGGAAGTAGGGATAATGATCTACAGGCAATCAGGACACTGGGAATAAGGGAGTGGGGAGGGGGCAGCCAGGGTGGTGATTAGACCTTTGCTTTGGAATCATAATGTGAAGGGAGATCGCAGGTGGGCGGATTGGAGGCAGAGTAACCTCTCTGAAAGCTACTATGGTCCCACCAAGAACATTGACAGGGGTACACGGTACACGTACCGTGGGGTTTGGCCACCGACTGATTAATGGGGGTGGTGTTGTTATTCACAAGAAACTACTAGGGTTTTAAGTTTGAGAACACAGGACCTGGTGCAGGTGTGAAGGGGCAATCAGGAGATTTGGCAGGAACATACTGAATGTGATAGGCCTTCAAGGCACCACGTAGAGTTGTGGGAGAGACAGGCAGAAACAGAAGACTGGAACTCAGGGAAGACTCGTGGACCAAGGAGGAGGCCAAGTCATTGTGGCAGAAAGGAGAAGAGAAAGGTGGTTTTTATCCCTCCCCCCTTCCCATCTAGGACTGAAAACCTGCTCCTTTCCAGTCTATTACTATCGTCAATATTTCTTATGACTGTGACTTCCATCTTCAGCTCCTGGCTCATTACGACCCAGGAGGCACTGCCAGATGGCCTTCAGGTACCTCAGCGTGTCTGGGTGGGAGGCATCACAGCTGAACAAGAAATCGGCGGCCCTTGGGTCACTGATCGAGCCCCCTTCGGCCACTGTGGAGGCAAGAGCACAAGGTGAGCCTATCCCGTACCCTGGTGCCAAAGCACCGTGGAGAAGAGAGATGCTCTGCCCACCACCTCACCCGCGCCTTCCACCCGGCTGCCTACCCCAGAACTGCCTCAGTTCTCGGCCGACACTGCCGCAGAACCAACCCCGCTGCCCTTGAAACATGGCGATCGGCCTGCGCGCCAGGGTGCGGGGGAGAGGAGGGCCTAACGGGGATCGCTGATTGGGCAGAGGGGCGAAGTCAAGCTCGATGATTGGTTCTCAGAGTAATGGGCGGGAAAAGCCTGAGGCTAAAGGAAGCGGAGTCTGGTCACTCACTACCAGAAAGCTGACCGCCGCGTGGGATTGTGGAGGTGTCTCAGCTTTCCCCTGATATGGCGGAGAAGGGTCAGTCATGCTTGGGAGTTTTAAACCCTCAGTGTTAAAGTTATCGTGCTGTTGTTACAGGCATGGTCACGCGTTCTGTGGCATCACGTGTTATTTTGAAGCCAAACTCATTTTATAATTTCATTTATAAATGTTTCAATTAGAATCTCTAAAAGAGGGGCGCCTAGTGGCTCAGTCGATAAAGCGGCCGCCTTCAGCTCAGGTCATGATCCCGGGGTCCTGGGATCGAGTCCTGAGTCGGACTCCTTGCTCACCAGGGAGCCTGCTTCTGCCTCTCCCTCAGCATGCTGCTTCCCCCGCTTGTGCTCTCTCTCTGTCAAATAAATAAAATCTTAAAGAAAAAAAAAGAATCCCTAAAAGATGAGGACTTTTAGAAAGACAAAACCACAATACCATTTCACACTTAAAAATAATAATTCTTTAATATAGTCAATTTCACCGGTGTTGAAATTTTTGTTTTGTTTTCAAAATTATGCTTTTCTTTTGCAGTTTCCACAATCCACCACCTACCGCCTTACATCAGTTTTGATAAGCTATATTTTTCTGGTGTTGGGTCCATTTAATCTAAAATTTCAAAAATATTGATATAAAGGTCATAAAACATTTTGTTTTTTAATGTCTGCAGGTTCTGTAACAATAGTTCCTTTTTCATTTCTGTTATTAGTTATTTGTGCCATTTTATTTCTTAGTCTCGCCAGAGGTTTGTCAATTTTATTAGTCTTTTCAAAGAACAAACTTACGACTTTGTTGATACTCTTTAATGTATTTTCTGTATCATTAATTTCTGTTCTTATCATTTCCTTGGTCTTAAGCTGCTGTTCTATTAATTTCTTGAAAGAGATGAGTGCCTTTCATTCTGTTTTCTAATATTTGCATATAAGGCTATAAATTTTCTTAAAACTGTTTACTTTAAAATTTCCAAACACGTGACTACGCAGTTATCTTATTGTTAACGATTGCTGGTTTAACTGCATTAAGGTCAAAGAATATTACTTATGTTATTATAATCTTTTAAAATGTATTGAAATTTCCCTTATGATTGAAGTATATGGTCAGTGTTATGTGTGTTTGCAAAGATTATTCGCAGCTGTTGGATATTCTGAGTGTTGGGTGCAGCATTCTGCATGTTTACTGGGTCAAGTTTGTTAATCATATTGTCAGATTTTTCTGTCTGTTACAGAAAGAAGCATATTAAAATCTCCTTTGTGGATTTATTGATTTGTTAATTTTTGCTTTATATATATTGAAATTATGTTGTTAGGCGCATGCTAATGTATACTTGTTACTTTCTACTTGACTGAACTATTAAGCACTTAAATATGAAAGGCAAAACTTTAAAACATATGAATAAAGCAGGGGAGAATACCTCTCAGGCCTCTGAAGAGAGAATAACTTTTTAACAGACACAAGGATTAACCAGTAGAAGATATTTGCAGTATGAATAACCAACAAAGGATTGGTATCTAGAACACATAAGTAACCCTATGAATCAATAAGAGACAAACAACACAATAGAAAATATGGGCAAACACCTGAACAGACATTTCATAGAAGAAATTTAAATGGCCGATAAACTTATAAAAAGATGCTCAGCCATCGGGGTAATTAGGGAAATGCAGACTAAAACTATGAGATACCATTATGTATCCACTTTACTGGTACATAATTGAATTGCTAAAAACATAGATTAATGGGAACTGTAGGAATGTAAATTGGCATAGTCAGTTTGACCAACAATTCAGCATTACTTACTTGAAGATGTGCTTAACTTATCTGCCAGCATTTATTACATATGTACCTAGAGAAATTCTTGCTCCCCTTTACCAGTACACCTTGTACAATAATGTTTATGGCAACACTGTTGCTAAAGCAACAGCAACAACCAAAATCAAAACTAGAAACAACCCCTTATTTATCAACAGTAGTTTGGGTATTTAAACTGTTCTATTTTCATAGAATGGAATACAACATAATTTTGAATTTCAAAAAAGCTAAGGAAGACATAGAACATGATTCCATTCATTTAAACTTCAAAAAACAGGCATAATGGGGGTGCCTGGCTGGCTCAGTTGGAAGTTTGTGACTCGAACTCGGGGTGGTGAGTTTGAGCCCCCACGTTGGGTGTAGAGATTACTTAGATAAATATTTTTTTAAATAAAAAAAACAGGCATAATGAATCTTTCTTTATAGGGATACATATATATGTAGTAAAGAAAAAACTAAACAGTATGGTTGTTGGAAAAATATACCTATGAATTATATTCAGAAAGGAAAAAAACAGATACGAAATGTAGAATAATGATTACCTCAGGGCCTAGAGAGGGACACATGGGGCCTTGAAAGGTTTTGATACTATTCTATTTGCAAGACTAGATGGTCAATTAATGAGTGTTTGTTTTTTTGTATCATTCTCTAAATTGCATATATATATATTACACTCTTTTGTGTGTATTTTACAGTTTAATTCTTAAAAATAATCAAGTAGGTCAGTTTAGGAGGATTTTATCTAAAGTAGTTAAGCAAATATTTGACCTTGAATAAATCACCTTTACTCATCTGAAAAATTAATTTGTCCAGAGCATCTCTTTTCTTGGAAGTACTTGGTAATTCAGTATTACTTTTTTTCTCCTATATCTCAACTATGTTATACAACTGTGCAATGATATTGCCACTGCTATTCTAAAAGTCAGTTTAGTCCCAGAAAAGTGCAAGTCATTCTCTTTTTAAGGTTCTCACCTCAGTGAATCCTAACACACTGACTTTTCCTTCTACTTTGTATTTTTGTTACTAGCAGCCTCATCTCCTGTAGCCTGCGATAAAACAATATATAAGATAGCCCTAATCATAATTCTTAGTGAATACATTCAGAGTCTATTTCTAGCAAGAAAGTCTCATATTGGTGTTTTATGATTCATACTCATTAGAAGGATTCCTGCCTTTAATTGTAATCTGAGTTCTACATAGAAGTATTGTTCAAATTACTCAGTATAGAATAACCAATTATCTGGGAAAACTGTGCAAAAACAAATTTGTGTCATCTATGTTAAGACAAATGCTGAAAAGTTAAGGTAGTATGTTAGAGAAGGCATTAAGGTGGATACCTACAAATAGTGGAAAATATGTATACATATTTTCTGTGGTCTGTCCTTGTTCCCTTGAAAAAAAATTCATTTTTTCCCTTTTTTAAAAAACTATTGTGGTATAGTTATATCCCATAAAATCTGCCCATTATAAGTATACGGTTCACTAATTTCTGGTATATTTTTATATTTTTGGTATATTTATATACTTTGGTATATTTATATATTTTTATAACTATGCAACCATCACCACAAAAAAAACCATTCATTTTTAGGAGTATATTTACCAAATTCAGATTAGAATTTTTATTCATTCCTATTCATCTTTCACTATCTCCAACTTAACCACCACTTTTCTTTAGAATTTTCTCTTCCTATTCTGGTGGATATTAACTTCCCCTTTCTCTGAACTCTGTAGTTCTTGTCTATCCACAAGGACAGACTTTAGATATCAATTTCTAAAACTTTGTATATAATTAATAGGTAGGAGCTAGGCCCTATTCTGTCCCCCAAACTCTTTGTCATACTGCTTGAAATTCTCTACCGCAGTGTCTAAAACCCTATCATTAGAAATATTACTTATTGAATATGGACTGTTTGTTAGCTAGTAAGTAGTACCAGGTCAATGCTAAATTTTCTGAATTTGATAATTTTGTCCTGTGATAATGTAAGAAGAGTATCTTGGGGGTGCTTGGCTTGCTCAGTCAGTAGAGCATGTGACTGTTGATCTTGGGGTGGTGAGTTCAACCCCTACTTTGGATATAAAGCTTACTTTAAAGAAAAAAGAGTATCTTGGTTCTTAGGAGATACTGACGTATTTAGGAATAAGAATCATAATGCCTGTAACTTAATCTGAAGTGGTTCAGCAAAAATAACATTAGCCATACACTACACACACAAAATCATATGGGGTGGATATGGGGGAGAGAGAATAAGAAAATGTGGCAAAATGTTAATAACTGATGAATCTGAGTGGGGAGTACAGAAGAGTTTATCATACAAAATGCGATTTTTCTGTTCGAATTTTTCTTAGAAAAGATTTAAAAAATAAGTTCCTTTAGTTCAGTAATTCTCTGCCCTACCTGCACATTAATATCACCTGAGAGCTCTTAGGATTATAACTGCCCAGGCCCCACCTGCTAGAGATTTTGATTTAATTGCTCTTGGGTGGGGTCCAAGCATCTTAATTTAAGTCTCTCCAAATGAACCTTTTTTTCTTTTTATGCTTCTTTTATGTCTTTCGAAACATCTAGCAAGGTTTCAGGCACAAAACAAGTCCTTATTACATTCTGATTGAAGTGAATTTATTTATTTATTTATTTTTTTAAAGATACAAAATTTGGGGCGCCTGGGTGGCTCAGTCAGTTAAGCGTCTGCCTTCAGCTCAGGTCATAATCCTGGGGTCCTGGGATCAAGCCCTGCATCAGGCTCCCTGCTCAGCGGGGAGCCTGCTTCTCCCTCTCCCATTGCCCCTCCCCCTTGTGTGTGTGTGTTCTCACTCTCTCTCAAATAAATAAAATCTTCTGAAAAAAAGATACACTATTTATTTATTTATTTATTTAGTAGGCTCCATGCCCAATGTGGGGCTTGAACTCACAGCGATCAGAAGTCTCATGCTCTACTGACTGAGCCAGCCAGGTGCCACAGATTTTTTTTTTTTTAAGTAATTTCTTAAAAGTAGCCATAGTCATGTCATGGCTGTTTACCCAACTCAGCAGCTATGAATATGTGTATATTGTAAATGCCAACAGTACAGGTATATTACCTGTGGTATGTGTGTATCCTCTCCCTTATGATAAATAAGCTAGGGGGCTTTTACCCTGCCAAAGAGCTGTGCTAATTGTAATTTTAAAGGGCCAGTGCTGCAGGTCCTAGATAACACCCCCCCACACACAAAAAAAAAACCCTATCAGATATAGAGAATGAAGCCCAGTTAGATGGGACTTTGAAGGAAAAGAAGGGATTGTTCATCAAGGGTACTGCTGAGATAAATGATGCTAAGAACTTTAGACTTAGAAGGAACATGCTGGAGAATGGGTATACTGGAGAGGACAAGATGAAAAATACTGATATTTAAATTATAGGAGGAAAAGGACATAGTCAAAAGCAGACTGAAATACTTAAATATATTTGAGTACAGAAAAACAATACCTCCGTAGACAAATAAAGCAGGAAAAAGAGAGTGAGAGAGTCAGATTCGCTGGACTAAAAAGTATGTTGAGAGAATTCAAGACAAAATTATAAACTAGCCCAAACGATTTCCTATTTTTTTTCTATAAATCTCTGGAACAGTTTTTTTTTAATTACAGTAACAAGTTCTAGAAAAGAAATGTGTTGCAAAATTTATATTAAAAGATAAATGGGGTGCCTGGGTGGCTCAGTTGATCAAGAGTCTGTCTGCCTTTGGCTCAGATCATGATCCTAGAGTCCTGGGATTGAGCCCCTCCTTGGGTTCCCTGCACAGCGGGGAGTCTGCTCTTCCATCTCCCTCTGCTCCTCCCCCCGCTTGTGCTCTCTCTTTCTCTCAAAATGAATAAATAAAATCTTTTAAAAATAAAAGATAAATAGGAAGAAGAGTACACATCTGAAAATGTATCTATTAAGAGTCTTGTGCTGAGAATAATGACAGCATAATAGAATTTCAGGACACATTTGGAAAGGGTTTCCAAGCATCACAAACTGAAGTTGCAGTTTGCTCCACTAACAATAGCATGATGATCATTCTCATGAAGAGTGGCTCCTTTGTCATAGAAGACCCCAGAGAAGTGGAAGGATATCTTGAAAAGCTCCAGTGAAATCCACTTAAGACACTGAGAATGGAATTTAGTTTGCGAATCCTTTCTTCATTATTCCAGAGTTCCCCATAAACTGGGAAGAGAAACCAGTGAGACTGGTAAACTATTTTAATACCTCTTTAATAACACTCTGAATTTACACAATAGCATGACTAATTACCGTGGTTGTAAGATATGCAAGGGTTCTTTATTCTCTCCACCATCATTAAGGCAAGGGCAGAAGTAGGGATAAAGTTTCTCCATGAAAGTGCTAGTGAAGGTGTAAATGTGGGTCATGGTTTCAGCATTGTAGAAGGACACCTGCCCTCCTTCATAATCCAGGTATATGCCCACCTTGTTGAGGTTGTTAGTCAGTTTCAGACTGCAAGACGGCAAATCCAGAGCCTTTAGGTCAGTTTGGTTTCTTAGTCTTAAAAGCCAGAATCCTTGCTCAGGAGTTAGAGGACAGCTGCCCTTCCGAATGATGGATTCTCTGACGACTCCAACTGTCCATTTTGTCTTCTTTGCTACTTCTACTTCCCAGTACCACTTTCCAGATGTGAAGCCTTTTGAGCCCAGCACAGCCACACTTGAGTCAAACCTCTCTGGATCATCAGGCATTACCTGCTTAATGTCACCATGCCACACACTGGTTCGGTTTTTGGAGAGCATCAGATTTGGGTGAGCTGTTTTAGGGTCCAGAGTTAATGAAGATAGGCCTAGTAAGAAAAGAAAGCAGGGCATGGAAGAAAAGGGATGAATGCAAATTCCTGTAATAAAAGACAGTATTTACACAGACCTCAGTACTTTATCTTCCCATGCACATATAGTCTTAGACAAGTAATTACTTATATACTTTTTATTGTTTTATACTCCTGTGGGTATATTCTAGACATTTTTTAATTTGTGGTAAAAATCTGACTTTACTCTGAAGCAATTTATGCTCCAACAAAGAAAACAATACAAATAATATCAATCTGTACTAATAAATTTAAGAAAATGCAAATGCCGAAGGCATAAAGATTAGGTAAGTTTGTCCTTGGAAAACCTTTTAAAGACAAATATTTCAGTTACGAAATGTATTCAGGATACATTGGGTAAACAGAGGCAAAAAGGAATGGGTTAAAAATAGTAGCTTATGTGAGAGGGAAGGTAAGGGCTTGCCCATTAGAGGCAGGTAAGTCTGAGCTAACTGAGAGGGTTTAGAAGACAATGGTGAGAAATTTATATTTGGTTTAATAGATAATGGGACTTTTGAGATGTGGAGTGGTTTATGCCACTGCTAATCAGAATGTGTGGTTACCAATCTGGGACAAAATAGTACAGAAATTAAGAGTAAGCTCTTAGAATCTTTTCCTTCCTTCCTTACTTCCCTTTCCTTCTTTCCTTCCTTCCTCAAGATTTATTTACTTATTTTAGAGAGAGAGTGAGTGAGGAGGGGCAGAAGGAGAGAATCTCCATCAGACTCCCCGCTGAGTGAGGAGCCCAACCTGGGGCTGGATCTCATGACCCAGAGATCATGACCTGATCCAAAATCAAGAATCAAACAATCTACTGAGAGCCACCCAGGTGCCCTGCTCTTAGAAAGTTTCATAGCAATCTGATGAGTAATTTTATGTCAGTTGATCTAATAATTAAACAACTGGGTTTGCACTTTGTAATATTTTTAAATTCTACTTTTTCAGGTAATTATATTGTCTTCCACAAATATATCAGTCCATGACAGGTTGAGATTTTAAAAACTAGTTCTTCATCACTGGTTATTTGTCTAGCACTGGTTTAGACAAGTAAGTGGGCAGCAGTGTAAAAAATTCCTAAATGAAGAGATGTTGGAAGCATATCAGCAAGGAGATAACACAAATTTTAGGTGTAAGGTAATCAAACCTTGGCACAAAATTTGATAAAGCAAACAAAAAAACTATGTGTTCACATAAGGGACACAGATACATATATGCATACATTTGTTGTTAATGAATTTATTTATCCTTGAAAGTGAGATCAGTCCAGTCCAACTTTTTCTTCCCAGAGAAGCCAGAGTCTTTTTTATCATCCCAAGGAATTCTCTTCTAATAAGAGACTTTGTAGAATCCTGACTTTTTTCATACAGGCTGAATCTTCCCTCCCTCACATATCCCCATTTGCCTTGGGTTGTTGCTCTTTCCAAGGTGAGGACTGGGATTTCTTTGGATATTTCAGACTCCTCACCAAAGTTTTTAGAACCCCAGTCTGCTGTTGTCACCAAGCCTCTCACACCTCCAGCTAACTCAGCCTGTCCTGGCTCCAAAGATTCCTAGAAGTCCGCTTTGCCTCCCCTCTTTTCTTCTCATACCATATTCAGTCCAACAGTAAATTCTGTCAACTCCACCTTTGAAATATATTCTGAGCCTACTCAGAATACGGATAGATAACTTTCACAAATACTGCTGGCCTGGAACTATTGCAATAGCTTTTTAACTGTTCTGTTTCTGCTCTTGCCCATCTGCATCCTATTCTGCCATATGAATGAGATCATCCAGTTCTACTCAACACACTCTTAAGCTTTCCATCCCACCCAAGATAAAATCTGGAGTCCTTACAGAGTAAACAGGACCTACATGATTTACCTACCTCTGTGACCTTATGTCCTAACACATACTTCCCTTATTTACTTTGATCCAATCACTTTTACTTTCTGGCTGTTTCTTGAATGTACCGAATTCATTCAGACTTTAGGGCCTTTACACTTTCTTTGTCCTCAAACACTCTTTCCTATGATTCCTTCCTTTATATTATTCCAGCCTTTCTTCATGCAAGTTCAGGGAGATGTTAGTGATAGAATCTGGGTAGGTATAGCAGTGTTCACTATAAAATTCCTTAAACTTTTCTGTATGTTTGGAAATGTCCATAGTAAAACATAGGGAGGGGGGAGTTAACTCCTCAAAGACTTTTTTCTGGCTAATATCAAAAATAGCATGTTCATCTATCCATCACTATTTGTACCCTTTTCCTACTTCATTTTTTCTCATGAATACTTACTTACTGAATGTACCTTGTTTGATTTGCTTGGCAATGGTTATCACTATGTGAAATTATTTACTGTTTCATTATCCATTTCCTCCACTAGAATGTAATCTCTGGGAGGGTGGGGACTTTATCTGTTTTGTTTCCTCACATACCTTCAAAATTTGGAATTGTTCATAGGCATTCAAGTAACTATTTATTAAATAAACAAATGAACTTCAGAGTTCCGTCTGAATCCTTGACACCCAACTAATTCCACCATGCCTCATCTTCCTGTTCTCCTTGGCCAAAACCCATAATGTAGACCCTTCCAGTGATTTATCCCCTGATGTGCTCTTATCCCCATTATTCTGTTCTTTGCTTCCTCTGCCTTCACCCATCCTCCCACTGCTCCCACCCATCCCTTTCCACTCTGCCCTTTAGAACTCCCTCCCTAAATAACTCTCCTGCATCCTCGCTTTACAGAATTCTCTCATCACCTTCTTACTGTAACAGAAGTCTGACTGGTTGTTCTCCAAAAAAATACAACTTGAAAAGTTCATGAGACTATTTTCTAAAAGAGCCAGAGATCCAGGAGCTACCACTGCCACTTCTAGACCCCTACTCAAAGCCTTATCCTCATGTAAAAATCACTCTTCTTTTGAGGCTCTTGTCATTCCATCTCATATTATACTCTATCTCTATTTGATGTTATTATGTACAGACTTCCTCATTATACTCTCTGTACTTTGCGTTAACTTTACTCCACTACCCCAACTCCAGCCCATCATCCCAAGTGATTTCACTATCTTTTGGATATAGCCATTTTTCCATTCTTGCTTTCTTGATTTTATTGCTAGTGACTTTTGACTTCATTACGTTTCAGCTGTCCATATTAATGACCACATTCTGGACCTTGTAGTCATTGGGAACTATTCATTCTCTAAAATCTTAAACTCACATATCCCATTCTCTTACATTTTATTTTCTCACTCTCATCTCCCTACAGCCATTACTTGACTTCATTAACAACTCTGGTCCCTTATTTCTCCTTATTATCCTAATCTGGCTGCTTCCTGGCTTAAAATCCTTCCCTAAACCACTTAGCATTGGCAATTTTATTGCCAATAACCTTATCACTTTTATCCTTGTATCTGCAGCATCTGCCATGCAACTCTCCAACCCTGGATCTATCTAGCTATCAAAATTCACATGCTAATTCCTGACCATTGCAGGAGGAAAATCACAAAATTATACATGTAGATATTACTGCAGATTCATTATTTCCACTCTGTGCTTGACCATCAGCACTGCCTAGAACTCCTGTATTTCCCAATCAGACCCTCTCCAGTTCCTCACAACAGCAATTTCAGACCTGCAGTTCCCTCCTCAAACTTCTATTCCATCACTTCCTTCCTTATTGCCAGGCAGATGACTTCACCTCCTGCTTCACAAAGAGACTATAGTACATCTTATAGGAATCCCTCAATTCTTCCCACTCATTCTGCAAGCTCCATCTGATAAAATTGTTTGCCTCTACCATTTTATCTCCTCTACATTTTCAGAGGAAACTGAGGAAAGTCAATACCTCTCTCTGCTAGATCTCACTCACTCTTCCCTACTTCTACCAGTTATCCCCTGTCTTATACCATTGGTTTCTGCCTTTCTATAGGCTGTTTTCCTTCACTGTGTTTTAAAAAGTTCTCTTTTGGAGTGCCTGGATGGCTCAGTTGGAAGAGCATGTGACTCTTGATGTGGAGGTCATGGGTTTGAGCCCCACGTTGGGTGTAGAGATTACTTAAAATAAATAAAATGTTTTTAAAAGTCTTCTTTTGACTCTGTTGCCACATTCACATCTTCCCTTTTAGTGAAGCTTCTCTAGTGAGTGATCTATTCACTTTACAACTGCTTCATTCCAAATCACTCCTGAACCCTTCATAATATAACTTCTAAACACACACTCTTTTAAAATTGCCCAACTGAAAGATAACCACACACACCAGTACACTCATAGTCCTAGCAGCCAAAGTATATTAAGAATTTATACAACTTATACAACTGCATAGGAAAAGATATTTGCAAATGATATATCCTCTAAGGGGTTAATTTCCAAAATATATAAAGAACTTAGACAACAACAAAAAAACAATCCAATTTAAAAAATGGGCAGAGGACCTGGATAGACATTTTTCCAAAGAAGACCTACAGATGGCCAACAGACACATGAAAATATGCTCAACATCATTAAGCCTCAGAGAAATGCAAATTAAGACCACCTTACACCTGTCAGAATGGCTAGAATCAATAACATGAGAAATAACGAGTGTTGGAAGATGTGGAGAAAATGGAACTCTCGCGTACTGTTGGTGGGAATGCAAATTGGTGCAGCCACTATAGAAAACAGTATGTTTCCTCAAAAAATTAAAAATAGAATTACCATATGATCCAATAATTCCACTACTGGGTATTTACCCAAAGAATGTGAAAACACTAATTTGAAAAGATATATGCACCCCTATGTTTATTGCAGCATTATTTACAATAGCCAAGATATGGAACCAACCTAAGTGTCCATTGGTAGATGAATGGATAAAAAAAGAGGTGGTATATATACAGTGGGATATTACTCAGCCATAAAAAAGAATGAAATCTTGCCATTTGCAACAACATGGATGGATCTAGAGGATGTAATGCCAAGTGAAATAAGTCAGTCAGAGAAAAACACATACCATATGATTTCACCCCTATGTGGAATTTAAGAAACAAAACAAAAGAACAAAGAAAAAAGAGACCAGAGAACCTTTTTTTTTTTTTAAAGATTTTATTTTTAAGTAATCTCTACACCCAACATGGGGGGCTTGAACTCACAACCCTGAGATCAAGAGTTGCATGCTCCACCAACTAAGCCAACCAGGTATCCCAAGAAAACAGACTCTTAAATACAGAGAACAAACTGGTTGTTGCCAGAGGGGTGATGGGTGGGAGAATGAATGAAATAGATAAAGGGGATTAAGAGTACACTTATCTTATCTTAATTAGCACTGAGAAATATATGAATCATTGAATCATTTTATTGTATACCTGAAACTAATACAACACACGATATGTTAATTATCGTGAATAAAAAAAATAAGATTGCCCTTACCAAAGTCCCAATTCCTGTTAAAAATATCTCTTTCCAATCATTTTCTTTTTTTTCTTTTTTCTTTTTTCTTAGAGCGGGAGAGAGACGGTGGGGGGTCAGGGGGTAAAAGGGGAGAAGGAGAGAGAGAATCTTAAGCAGGCTTCACGCCCAGTGTGGAACCCAAAAGCAGAGCTTGATCTTACAACCCTGAGATCAAGACTTGAACGAAAATCAAGAGTTGGATGCTTAACCAACTGAGCCACCCAGTTGGGTGGTACCTCTCCATTCATTTTCTAAATTGGTCTTCCCGTTTGGTATGAGTGACTGCTCCCTTCTTTTTGACAGTCTCTCCTTAGATTCTGTGTCAACTTCATTTCCTGGTTTTCCTCTTACCTCTTTTGCCAAAATTCCTCAATCTTTTTGGGAGGCTTCATTGCCCTTTATTTATTTTTATATAAGATGCTCCCTCCCTAACTGTATGTTCTCACTTTTCTTGGGAAATCTCATTTACAACAATAGCTTCAGCCACCCCATCTATTCTGATTATTCCAGCCCTGGCCTCTCTTCTGAGCTCCAGTTAGAATAGTTACCCATTTGAATATATTCACTTAGTTTTCCTATAGGTCCTTCAACACAACATGGCCAAAATTGAACTCAACCCCCTCCAAAATCTGTATCTCCTATAGCTCTATCCTTGACATTACCTTTCTCTATCCCCTACTACCAACTCCTGTCCAGTGTATTTCAGCTTCTGAAATTCTGTCTCTAGAATCTATTCTTTATTTTCCATTCGCGTTCCTATGCCTTTGGCTTAGCTCTTAATAACTTTTCACCTAGGTAGCTGGTATAGACTCTGCTGTGGTCTTTTAGCCTCTTCTTCCTGAGAACAGAAACTGTGTCTTTTATTTCTATATCCATTGAATCCAACTTAGTGCTTAGCACATAGTAGGCTCTCTGTAAGAGTGTGTTGAATGAATGAATGAACTTCAGTAATATTGTACTGATACATGACTAAAAGAAATATATTAAAGTGTTTTACAATGGATCGTGGATCACCACATCAAAAACTAATGTGATGTATTGTATGGTGACTAACATAACATAATAAAATTAAAAAAAATAAAATGTTTTAAATTGAATTACTTTCTACACTGGAATTGATAAAACTACAACCAGCAGGCCAAATGTGGCCTGATGCCTGTTTTGTAAATAAATTTGTATTGAAAACATTAATTGAAATTGAACACATTAACAGTCATTCATTTACACATTGTATGTGGTTGCCATTTCACTGCAATGACAGTTAAGTAGTTAAGTTTTGTGGAAACATACAACCCACAATACCTAAAATATTTACTATCAGGCCATTTATTAAAAAAGAACCAGCCTCTGCCCTGAATCAGTAGCTTCTATTATAAGGCAGGAATGGAGAAAATATGAGCCTAAAGAATAAACAAAAATCTAGAAATAAAAGTATGAAGTATATTTTACCAAGGTTTGACCAAAGTTACATTATTAGTAAAATAGCCATAGATTAAATGAATCTCATTTGATTTTCTTAGATGTAGACTTATACCAAAAATAAAAATCAGTTTGTGCTTTAAATGATTGCTAGAAATGAACTTTGATTTTACAGGGTGAAGAATACAAGAAGAAAAACTTAATGTGATCTGAACACTGCTAGAATTTGCAGAGTAGAGTAACACAGAAGAGGGGGCTATACAAAGATTTTCAAATATCTACAAAGGGATTCCCTTAAGGCTGTACTGATGTGCAGTGAAACTAATTAGGGCCAGTGAAAGAATCTCTAGAAAGCAGTCGGCTGAACAATTTCTAGAGCTCACACAAGTCTGGCAATAGTTTTCAATCCTGCCAGCCATAATGGGAAAATGTTGTAATATGTGGAACATCAGGCAGAATACTCAGAAGGGTATTACATTAGGAAATGGGCTAAGTTAGCCCTAGATTAAAGACTGCTCTTGAACCACTCTAGCAAAGCTTAAACACCTCAACAAAGCTTAAAGGAAGTGTCAAAAGGAAAAGGGTTATTTAACTACATGCCAAAGTTAAATCCAGTAGAGCTTAAAGGATTACAACAAGATCCAGTGAACAACAATGTAAAATTGATCATGTTTGGCATTCAATACCAGCCAGAAGAAACAAATCTCCCATGCAGAAGAATTCCAAATAATTTATGTAGATACTCCACACTCCTTAAGTGCGGGCTGTGCATAGTGACTTCCTTCCAAAGTGTAAAGGGGTGAGGGAGTAACTTTATAGTGGGAAACCTGACAAACACTACCTCAGCTAGGACAGATGGTATGAGTAAAAACAAATACCAAGGTGCTAGATTTAAACCCAATCATATTGATAATAACATTAAATGTCAGTGGTCAAAACGCCTCAATTAATTAAGGGATTGTCAGATTGGATAAAAAAAAACACAAGGCTTTACATGCTAGCTACATAAAGTGCACTTAAAATATAAAAACACTAATAAGTTAAAAATAAGATGATGGAAAAAGATTCACTGTGCTGTGATATATCCATAAAACATGATTATTGATATATGCAACAACATAAGTAGATCTCAAAAAGCATTATGCTAAGTGAAAAAAGCTGGACACAAAAGATTACATAAGGTATGATTCCATTTATATGAGAGTTTAGAAAACTGAAGTGAAATAAAGCAGATCTGTGAGTGTTAGGGGCTAGGGAGAGAATGAAGGAACTGACTACAAAAGGATATGCAGGAATTTTGGGGGTGATAGAAACTTTTAGAGATGTTTGCAGAAGTTGATATATTTGTCAAAACTCATCAAATTGTACACTTAAAATTGGCAAATTTTATTCTATGTTAATTAAACCTCAGCAAAACTGTGTTTTCAATGTCAGTTACTTGGAAAATTTGTTAACAGGAACAAATTTGTGATTTTCATTAAATCAGTAACTACAAACAATAATAATAATGATTCTATGTGAATTAAAAATATATTTAAAAACTTTATTTAGAAGTTTATTTTATAAATATTATTTAGATGGGGCGCCTGGGTGGCTCAGTCGTTAGGCGTCTGCCTTCGGCTCAGGTCATGATCCCAGGGTCCTGGGATCGAGCCCCGCCGCATCGGGCTCTCTGCTCAGCGGGAAGCCTGCTTCTCTCTCTTCCACCCCCCCACTTGTGTTCCCTCTCTTGCTGTCTCTCTCTCTCTGTCAAATAAATAAATAAAATCTTTAATAAGTATTATTTAGAACTTTATGTTCTTGAATTGTCATTTGTGTTCTTTTCTCCTGCTCAGTCCCTTGGTATCTGCAGGATAAACAAAAACTTGTGTCCTTATTCGGCACATCTATTGAAATTATTGGTTTTCTTTTGAAGCACTGAAGATCTCTAAACAGTCTCCTAAAAAGTTATACTCTAAAGTCGGACAGGGAGACGAACCATGAGAGACGATGGACTCTGAAAACCAAACTGAGGGTTCTAGAGGGGAGGAGGGTAGGGGGATGGGTTAGCCTGGTGATGGGTATTAAAGAGGGCACATTCTGCATGGAGCACTGGGTGTTATGCACAAACAATGAATCATGGAACACTACATCAAAAACTAATGTAATATATGGTGATTAACATAACAATAAAAAATTTTTTAAAAAGTTATACTCTACATTATGAACACCAAACACAAGAGGATCTATAAAGACTCTATTATATACAAGAGTATGTACAGTAACCTCCTCGTTCAGGACAGAGAAGCCCAGGGATTTATAGAACTGATTTAGAAAAACGGGATAAAATAACTGGTTGTCACATTTGATAGAACAATGAAACAAAATCATAGGCTGAGAAGTAATTCTCACATCAGACTCTATTTACCAGTGAGAAGTCATAAATTCTTAGGTCATGGTACCAGAAGAAATTCAGTCATACTGACTGAAGTCATACCATAGTCTTCTTTTGGCTAAACTCCACCCTTCCCCCATCCCAAACTCTAGAGTACTAATTAGGGCCACAGAAGAGATTCCACAGAAGGAGCATAGATTCCTGGGAGACCCAGGAACCAATAACCACTACCCATTGATACCTGGAGAGAGAGAAAACTGCATTTCCCTCCACATCATGTATTGGATGGGACCTTTGTACAGGCCTGGGTTCAGCTTTCTGGAGATAAACTCTCTGGGCATCAGCACCTTCATTCCTTGTTCCAAGCTGCAGGGGACATAAATCATTTAGTCTTAGACATCCTCCAGGGACTGAGGGAAAGATACTAATTCCATACAGAAACACTTACCTATCCAAGAGAGATGAGATATCCTAGAAGAGGAAAGGAGTAATAAAGAAGTTAGATGCCTGCTTATCAACACCAGAAATTTCTTTGGTGATACTGGCCACCACGAGAATTTGACCGTAAATACTAGGATCCTGCACAGATGTCCCCATTCCATCACCACCAACTCTTCCCATCCTCCACATGCCTTTTCTGATCAGGTATCCTTCATCTAACCCAGGACTAAACTGGCTTTATCTTATTCTGATTTTCTAGAGTTCCCTTTTACATGGAACAAGAGAAATTAATAGGCTGTTTCTGCCTATACTGCTACATGGTTTCAATAGAAAACCACTATAGGTCTTCCAGTCCCAAAGCCACTTTTCCTTACTCTGACTAAGTAAACTTCTGATTGCTGAGGTGATAATCAATGACACTTTAGAAGTTAAGCTTCAGGTAATAAAGACTGGCAAACACCTTTCAAACAAAATTGAAAGCCAGTCTAAGATACAACTCAGGTTGCAACATTCTTATTTTTGAGAAATAAACCTTCAAAGTTCTTTATGAATAAAAAAATATTAATAGATACCATTATTAATGGCATTATCTTTTTTAGGAGGGTGAAAGTAAAGCTTCCTATTGAGTGTAAGGCAAAAGTAGCCTGCTTTTCTCCCAGAGACTCTAAAGAGCACTACAGTAAGTTTTCCCCCCCTCCTGGTGGGGAAAAGCTGCTTCTACAGCTTTCTAACCCTCTTCCCCCCACTAGTATACCCATAATTATGTTGATAGGGAGTCTCACTTTGAGAAAGTCGAAGGGATTCTGCTGTTCCATCCGTGCCTGGATGCTCACCAACATCTCCTTGGCTAGGAGACACTGTTCCTGAAGCTGGCTCAGATTCAGCTCCATCTCCTCATTCAAGGCTTTCCCCTCTTCTCGGAGCTCATTTAAAATGTTCTTTTCTTTGCTGTGCAGGAACTGATGTAGCTTTAGAAACTCCAAGGAGATGTGTTGCTGCAGATGTAGCTTGTTTTCCTGGAAACCTCCATGATCATCACCATGGTAATTACTGAGACTAGCACTTGGGGATGGGGGCCCACACCACCAGTACTCATACAATTTGGGAAATACCTTAACAGGAAGATGCATTAAAATCACTCTTGAGTATTATCACTCAACCATACTAAATAGTAGGAGTCCTTTGGGAGACTTACTTTGTTTTTCTCAGTTTAATAATAGTTCGGGAATGAAATACTCAAAAGTGGTCTCTAGGTACCTATTGCAATACTGGGGGTGGTAACCAATGCCATATTAAATAAGGCTGTGGGGTTAAACATTCTAGAATGAATGATAGTACCCTCCTACCCAGAAGTGATGTCTACCAAGTGATGCTGTTAAACTGGGGCCATAAGAAGGCTGAAAGAACTATTCTTATCTAGAAATGAAAGCTGGGGGGATGCCACTTCCACTGCCAGGACAATATAGAAGAAACAGTAGATGGGCAATGTCTGAAGCACTGAAATTGATAACTGCTATACCCCTTTCTTAAGGTACTGCGACATCCTGAGGGGTGAACCTTCTGACATCCAGGCTTCTCAGATCCTTATCCTCCTCATTTCTAGTGATCTCCACCTTTATCTACTCATTCTCTTAACCACCCAGGACTTTATCATCCCCAGCAATTTCACCAAAACTAACTTCTTATGCTCATTTACTCAGGTACTTCTATTGCAACAATTCCTGGGTCTCATTGAAACCTCTTACTCATTGACCCCTTCCATTTCTGTTCATCATTTTCTGTCTCCATGTCTCCTCTTATCCAGCTTGGATTTTATGGTCCATCATTATAATGGCACTCTTAAAATTCACTCTATTCTCTAGCTCACATTTTTCCAGTTTTCCTTTTACCTATTTCATCACTATTTCTCTTATTTTTTTGTTCTGTCTCCTTTAACCAAGCTCTAAATATTAGAGTTATTTGATATTCTGTCCTGGGCTCTTTCCCGTTCTCATTCTACATTCTCTTTTTAGGTAATATCCTCTCCTTCCACAGATTTAAATCAATCTCTGTGCTGACTTCTTATTTCCAGACTGAGCTCCAGATTCCTGTATCTAACTGTCTATTTGACATCTCCACTCACCCCTCACATCTAATCAGTCACCACATCCAGGTTATTTATTTATTTATTTTTTTTATCTCCAAAGCATATGCTGAAGCTGTTTGTTTCTCTCTACCTCTGCTGCCTCTCTAGTCCAAGCCACCATCATTACTCTCTGGGATCACTGCAATAGCCTTCTAATATTATCCTTGTCATTGTCTCTCTTCACACAGCCACTAGACTCATATTTTCAAAATGAAATGAAATCATATCCTATTTAAAACCTTTAATGGCTTCTTATCCATAGGAAGTTCAAATATCCTATTGTTATCTACAAGGGCCTACATAATTGGACTCATATCTACCTCTTCAGTCTCATCTTGCATACCATGATCCAATTTTATTGGCCTTCTCTCTGTTTAACATAGCAATTAGCTTCCTATCTCAGGACTTCTCCAAATGCTCTTTGCTCACATAGAACATTCTTCTCCAGGCCACTTCCTTCATATTCCCCTCAACCAGTTCACTTGGCTAAGTTACTTATCCTTCAATTCTCAATTTTTAATGGGTGATTTCTTCAGAGAATACCCCCCCTCTAGCCTAAATTAGTTCTTCATGTATATGTTCTTATGATACCCTTTATTTTCATTTATACTAATTATCACAGTTGTCATTTTATTGCTATTAATGGGATTACTTAATCCCATTAATCTGTCTCCCACCCTAGTGTAATATGGTATCTAGTGTAATACCTTACCGACTCAATAAATAATTTTTGAGTGAATGAATGTTGACTGTAATAGCTGAACGGGGAACTCTTACAACAGAAACAACATTCTCTGGAGACATTATCTCCACCTATCCTTCTTCTTTCCCTCATTGTACATATTTCTTCTTCCAGATGCCAAAAGCCAGAGAAGATTCTCCTCCATAGAATAATTAGTGAGGAAATAGAACCCCCAATTTAGCCCCATAACCTATGGACTGCTTTACCAAGTTTCTGGCTATTAATGTTCTACTAGAGCTCCTGTGAAGCTCTAGGCAATAGTTTATTTAGTTTGGGGGAAGCTAGGAAAGATCACATTGAATGGTAAAAAACCAGCAGTCCAAGAGACCTTCAATCAGAGGTAGCCTGGTTATAAACCCAAAGAAAAGAAAGGTATTTCTCTGGACATAACAATCTTTAGTGGATTTTTCTGATAAATCCCTTATTTTGTCATATATAAAGGGAAAGATTAGACAGATCTCAACCTCAGAACAATCACCTAGTGATTGAGCCATCAGAAGCATCAGCATGTAACAGGAAAGGTCAGTCTCCTCTCTCTGTTGATCAACCACTGAGAACTTATTTCCCTCCTATATTTCTTTCCACCCTACAGTGTCTACTTTCTAATTCTATAGCCCAGGTGCCATTTAGTGTATTGATAATATACGTACAGGCACCTTTCTACTCATATAGCTGAAGTTACAAGGAAGGTGTTTCAGTTCTATCTCATAACCCCTCTACCCTGCTTCTCACCTTGTAAGCAGCTATAGCATCTTTCTGCATATTCTTCAGGGACTGAAGTTCTTTCAGGGTTGCCTCCAGTTGACCTTGATGGATGGTGAGCTCCTTCTGGGGATACCACATAGAATTAACCCACACTAACTTGGGAGATGAAGGACCATAGGGCTATCTCTCCTAAAGGCCCAGGGTGTGAGGAGAAAAGGTGAGCTATTGCTGCAAGTCTTTCCTTTCCCCTAAGTCATAATTCCTGTCTCTTCTAAGAATTGTAAGGAAAATAAAAAGCAGCAGAAAAGCTTAGTTTTATGCTCTTATGAGCTTACTACAGGGGTTTGAAGATGATAACTCTACATTTTTTACTCTAGTTATACCATTCTCACTAACTATACTTTTACTTACATTGTTATCATTTAGGATGCTCATTTCTTTCTTCTGCCCATTCAAATGCAAATGATTACCCAACTCAAGCTTTCATTCACCATACATCCCCTATTTCAGTTTTCTCTAATCTTCTTTGAAATTCTAAATATTTATGAATTACAAATGTTACAAAATTTAGCTCTCATTAGTAGACTATCTTGCTTCTGTTGTTTTATTCATTTTAAACTTGACTAAATTTCAAGAATTTTATAACAAGAGCAATATCTTGTACATCTGTATTCTACACAGCATCTAGCAGAGTGCTGTCATGGCAGGGTATAGGTAAATAAATATTTGATTGATTGAGGGAGTAGGCCAGAGATACTCCACTGCTCCTTTCTTATAATCAGCAACTCTAGAAAAGAACTTTGCAAGATATGTTGTATTTTCTGAGCTTACTAATAATCATCTGAATAAAGAGGTGGGGTTGAAAGAGAGAAGAAACCCTACAAAAGATTTTTCCCAGCTTTCCTAAGGTATTATTCAAGACCCAGGGCTCACCCACCATGAAGAAACGGACAGCATCAGAGATCTGCAGGAAATCTTTAGACTGCCCCACAGATAACCGAGCATCTTTGCACTGAAAGCAGATCAGTTTCCCATCTGGCTTACTGAATAGTTTCAGGTTCTCTCCATGCTCTGGGCACTGTGGATGGCCCTTGAGTAAAGGTAGCTTCTTAATCTTCTCTACCAGCTTCTCAAGTACCAGGTTGAACGTACAGTTGCTATATTGACATACCATCTTACACTCAGGGCAGAATGTTTCTTTTGCTTGCTGCTTCCAAAAGTTTTGGATACAGGCCTGGCAGAAGTTGTGGCCACAGCTTAGCATCAATGGATCACAGAACCAATCATTACACAGTGGGCAGTGTAGCTCCTTAGTAATATCTTGTATCTGCACTTTAGAGGGTATCTGGGTGATCAGATCATGCACTTCCCCATAGTTGCCTGGGTCGATGTTGGAGGAGGGTCTGGAAGATACCTTTGGGAAAGAACAACTAAATAAGTTTCTCTTTCTTGCTGCCCATTTCAGCACTCCAGGAGAGTGGGCTCCATTCTTAAAGGAGCCGAGAATAGGTGCAGCCACAGTAAAAGCACCAATCTCCTCTTTGAAAGTGATCTGATAAAATCATCATTTTCAAACGTTATTTCTACTCCCAACACTATTTAAACTTTAGTGGAGAGCTAAGGCAGAAGAAAGAGTACACAAACTAAGAATGCTTTTTGTTGTACAGTCTTCTTTCCACCCACTTTCCCCATGTATTAGTTAAAAGTTTTACTTTCAACTTTTGTTCTACTAGTTATTACTTTTTTGTTTTGTTTTCTAGAAGTCATATACAAAGAATTGGAAGATCAGTCAGGTTCCTCAGTGATATAATATCACCAACCATAATATCATCCACACTTTTCCTCCTCCTTTTTAAAGAACACATTACAGAAATAACATACATATAGAAAAATGCAGAATCATGCATACAACTCAATGACTTTTCACAAAATGAACACATCCGTGTAATCATCACCCTGAACAGGAAATGGAAAACTACCAGCATTCCAGAAGTCCCCCATATGCCTGCTTCAAGTCACTATCCCTCATCAAGGTTGACCCCTATCTTGACTTCCAATACTATACACTAGTTTTGCCTATTTTTGAATTTTATATAAATGCAACCATGCACTATTTATTCTTTTGTTGCTGACTTCTTTTATCAACCTTACATTTGTGAGACTTTTACATATTATTCTTTGTAATTGTAGTCCATTCATCCTCATTGCTGTATAGTATTACATTGTGTAAATATACCATAATTTATTTCTCCATTCTACTGTTGAAAGACTTTTGGGTAGTTATCAGTTTCAGGCTATTATAAATAGTGTTGCTGAGAACATTCCAGCTCATATATATATATACACATATATATATAAATACAAGTGTGTGTGTGTATATATATATATATATGGATTTGTTTTGCTTTCTTTGTTCAGCATAACTTTTGAGATTCATCTGTGTTGATACACATAACTGAAAGTCATTCATTTTCACTTCCATATAATAATCTATTGATGAAAATTTATTTACTCATTTTACTGTTGATAGCCAGTTGGACTGTTTTGGTGTTTTGCCATACAACCAACGCTACTATGAATATTCTTTCACATGTTTCCTGGTATATATATATATAAGGGTTTTTCTAGGTTATTTAATGTTAAACCAACTTTTCTTTCCTGGAGCTAACCTATCTTGATCATGATATATGTTTTATGTATTACTAATGTATTACTAGATTTAGTTTGGTAATGTTTTATTTAGGATTCAACCTCTATGTTCATGACTCAGATTGCTTTTAATTTTATTTTCTTAAACCATCCTTGTCTGGTTTTCTTATCTAAGTTATATTAACTGCATAAAATTAATTGGGAAGTGTACCTTCTTTTTCTCTTCTCTGAGTTTGTGTAAAAATAATAGAATTATCTGTTCCTTGAGTATTTGGCCAAGTTCACCAGCATAACCTCTGGGATTGATGCTTTTTTTTTTATTTTGCATTATCTGGAAGTACTGATTTACCTCTTGAATAGTTATGGGATCATTTAGATTTTCTATATTTTTCTGACACAGTTATGGTAATTTATATTTTTCTGGGAGTTTACTTTGCCTAAGTTTATAAATGTATTGGTATAAAACTGTATTCTCTTATTATCTTTTTATTGTGAGATATAGATACATAAGAGTATATGAAGCATTTATATATTTTTTAAATAATAATAACAAAGCAATACTTTGTAATTACTACCCAGGTTAAAAAGTAAAAAACTAATTGCCAATACCTTTGATGACCCCTGTGTGTTCTTTTCCAATTGCATGTGTCTCCTTTTTTCTCATAGCCAATATTCTGCCTTTTGACTTGAACATTACTATACTTTTCTCTATTATTTCATCATCTGTGATTGCATCCTTAGCTAATACAGTGTTTAGTTTTTTCTTCAGTTTTGAACTTTATGTAAATGGAATTATACTGTATGTATTTTTCTGTAACTTGTTTTCTTTTTTTTTTTAACATTATGTTCGCAAGATTAATCCATGGAGAACCCATGCAACTGTTCCTTTTCAATTATATATAGTATTTCATTATGTGCATATACCACAACATATGCATCCAGTCTACTGTTAGTAGACATTCATTTCAATTTTTCTGACTACTATACACAATACTTTTAATAATATTCTTGTATGTGTCCCTTTGTGAACATGTATAAGAGTTTCTCTAGAACCTATACCTAGAAATAGAATTGCTAGATCATGAGATATGCATCTCTTCTCCTTTACTAGATAATACCAAACTGTTTGCCAAAATAAATGTAGCGATTTACACTCCAGTAGCAGAGAAGGAGGATTTTGGTTATTCCACAGCCTCTTCAACACTTATTGTTGTCAGATTTTCTAATTTTTGCCAAACCAGCAGATGTGTAATTGTATCTCAGTAGAGCTTTAATTTGCATTTCTTAGATTACTAATGCAGTTTAACATTTTTTCACGTTAGTGGATCCTCTTTTGTTAAGAGAAGAAATGTCTAAGTCTTGCTCATTTTTCTAATGAGTTGTCTTTTCCTTACTGACTCAGAGTAGTTCTCTATATATTCCAGATAGTTGTCCTATTTCTTAAATATTTATGTATTTATTTATTTAAGAGAGAGAGAGAGAGAGAGAGTGTGGGGGGTACAGAGGGAGAGAGTCAAGCAGACTCCTGGCTGAGTGTGGAGCTGGCTGCAGGGCTCAATCCCATGACCCATGAGATCATGACCTGAGCCAAAACCAAGAGTTCAACACTTAACCGACTGAGCCACCCAAGCACACTGATACTAGTCCTATTTTGGTTACTTGGGTTATAAATATCTCCTTCCATCGCTCAGTACATGGCTTATATTTTCACTCCCATTATAGTGTCTTCCCAAGAATAGAAGTTCTTAATTTTAGTGTAATTCAATTTATAAATATCTACTTTGTATTTTGCCTAGATTAAAGATGAGTCCCTCCAGGGAATATTTATGTTTACTTCTTGAAGATGTAAGTTACTACCAACCATCCACCATTTTATGTTAATTTTATTGGTTTCAAGTCTCTAGATCATAGGGAGATTGTAAATTTTACACCTACTCCTGTATGAGGGCAAACTGTGGTTAAAAATTCTCAAGGGAGACTCTTATTTTTCACTCAGACCCCAAATCAAGATAGTTAGGATTCTTTATTATCTCTCATTTCCACTCCTTCACCAAGGCTGTAGCTCTTCAAATGTCCCAGCTTTATTCAAAAGTCTCAGGTCCAACTCCTTACCTCGTGCAGGTCTAAGGATTGTTAAATCGAGTTTTCCTGAGTCTCAGTAACTCTAACCTACCTTGATGCTTTTCAGTTCTATATACTTTTTTTTACTTTGGAATTTCTCTTTACTTTCTTGTACACTCCAGTATGCATGCCAAAGGATGTTTGTTACATCTTAACTGACATTTCTGGGTGTTTTATAGTGGTAGGTTTTCCAGAAAAAATGGTTAACAGCAGGGTTGGCTGGCTGGCACAGTTGGTAGTATGGGACTCTTGATCTCGGGTTGGGAGTTTGAGTCCCATGTTGGGTATGGAGATTATTTCAAAATAAAATCTTAAGGGTGCCTGTGTGGCTCAGTTGTTAAGCGTCTGCCTTTGGCTCAGGTCATGATCCCAGGGTCCTGGGATTGAGTCCCACATGGGGCTCCCTGCTCAGTGGGAAACCTGCTTCTCCCTCTCCCACTCCTGCTGCTTGTGTTCCTGCTCTCGCTGTCTCCGTCTCTGTCTCTGTCAAATAAATAAATAAAATCTTAAAAAAAAAATCATTCACAGTATTGCCTGAAATGGAACTTGAAGAGTATATCTTCAAGCATTTCTTTTTTGTTTTTAAAGATCCCAGATCCCAGGACCCTGGGATCATGACCTGAGCCGAACGCAGACGCTAAATGACTGAGCCACTCAGGCGCCTCTCTTCAAGCATTTCTTAAGAAAGGGTGAATGGGGAGTATATTCCATTGGAATAATTTCACTTCTAGTAATAATAGCCTGATTTCGTCCTGTCATTTGAATGATAGTTTGTATAGATTTCAAATTTTAGGTTCCAAACGTTTTCCTCTCAGTAGTTTATGGGCATTTTCCATTATTTGCATTTAATGTTGCAGATGAGAAATTCAGTGTCAGTTTAATTCTAATTTATTTTAGGAATGAGTTTCTTTCCCTCTACAAATGTGTAGGATTCTCTTTTTATCTTTACATTCAAAATTTTTAGCAGATGACTCTAAGTTTATTTCTCTTTTCAGTATTTCTCAGTATTAAGTGACCTTTTCAGCCCTAATCAGTTAAAACATTATTTAGCTAAAAAAAATTATCAGATCATTTTTATTTAACTTTATTGGTTATTTCTTCCTTTTTATCTTCTGTTTTCTTCCTTTAGAGTTTACACTAGATGGACATTAGATTTACTACATCTAACTTCTGTGTTTCTTAATTTTTCTCTAAAGCTTCTTTTTTGCTTTGTTTACGTCTCAGGAGAATTTTTAAATTTGATATTTTAACTCACTAATTTGCTTTGGGCTGCATTAGTTCTGATATTCAACCCTTCCACAGAGCTGTTTTTGGCTAGAAGGCAATAATGTTTTTAATTTCAAGACTGCTTTCTTGTTCTCTAGATACTCTAGACAGGATGAATTTGTTCTCTTTAATTTCTATTAAGATGTAGATGAGATTTTTAAAATTCTCTTTTATTTCCTGCACTAACTTTGTTTCTTTGGTGGTTATTTGTTCTGCTTATGTAACTTGAGACTTCTCTTTCATATTCCTAGGATTTCTCAAATTTCTGATGATTCTTGGGTATCCATCTTTATAAATGAGAGCCTAGATCTATTAATATTGAAGTTCTGTGGTCTCTTTGGCATACTCGAGGAAGTTAATGCAGTGGCAGACTTAAAT